AGTAAAGTAAAAATATCAAAAAAATCTACTTGAGTACAGTAACGAAGTATTTGTACTTCGTTACTTCCCATCTCTGCCGGCAAATGCATAAACATGTAGGAAGTGGAAAAAAGAAATGGGCAAGCACAAAAAGGAGACTAGTAAACACAAAAAAATAACAAAAAAATAGAGGGGTTCCAACTACACAGAGAGAGCAGATCTGTGCAGATTTTTTTCAATTCTACCTATTTGCCCCAAAAAATGAAACACTTTCCCACATTTGACTGGAACAGATTATAAAAAGTTATCAAAATAAGTGAATAAAAATAATAAAAAATAAATGGCGAGGCTGCAAATCGAAGCCCCACTTTATGCATCTGTGCAGCATCTCTTAAACCGGAACAAATTGTGAATCTTTAGAGGCCTACATTAAAAACATAATGGGCACTATGTTTAAAGAAAAGGAAAACACAGCTATGTGGGATAGTTTATATGCTGAGATTCTCAGAGACAGATCTGTGAAGTTTGTCTAAGTTTTTTTTTTTTTTGAGGAGCCCTATAAGCTGCATTTTCTACTGTCCCTCATTGTTTTTGTGAGCCTTAAAGTGGATTATCCCACACTCATCATGGGTAAATATTCAGGTTTTTTTAAATGTTCCATTGATTATTTATGTCCCACTCTGCTCCGCCTGCTTTGAATTCACTGTGCGACTCGAAACCTGATTGTCTCATGTGAAATTAACAGATTTTATTTGGTATTTTCCACCAAAGTGGAGGATGTGTTTTGCTTTGTAACTACTTGCTGCAGAAAATCGTGTCAATGTGATCATCCCCATTGACTTTCAACGAGTGCTAAATGCCACAACCTCATGATTTGCTGTTGGATTGGCCACAAAATCAAATTTGGTGTGTTCAGGGCCATACACAACATATGCAAAAGAGAGATGTTGCATTTCACCAGCAAACTCACAAAGAACAGCTATATCAACCCACATACTCCCTCACAGTATAGTAGAGGCAGTATTATGATGTTTGAAAGCTTTTCTCTAAATGGTATTAAATCTGAAAAGAGAGTTTTTCCTCTCCACTGTCGCTACGAGCTTAGTGTGAGGGATTTCCTTCGAGTCAAAGAGTCGATGCAATCAACTGGTTTTCCTTAGATAGAAAACTTTGAATCAATTTGACTGGATGACCTGGTGAATTGTAAAGTCCCTTGAGATGACATGTGGTGTGCATTGGTGCTATAGAAATAAACTGAATTGAATGGAATTGGGTTAAAATAATCCTGGAAGAAAATTTGTTAGAGGCATTAAAATATATGAAACTGGGAGGAGGTTCCCCATCCACCAGGACAGCCTCCCTTAACATTCCTAAATGCAACAGAAACTCTGCACCAATTTAAAATAGATGTCACCCTCCAAAAAAATCTGAAGCATTAATTTAAGCTTCAGGGGAATGAAAACAAAGTGCAGGTCACATATATTATGCTTTGATTCTTTAACATTCTTTCCCATCTGGGCGATGGTTGTATAGTGGTGAGCATAGCTGCCTTCCAAGCAGTTGACCTGGGTTCGATTCCCAGCCATTGCAATGTCTTTATTTACATTTTCAATAATGTACTTTAACTGTAATATGCAATTATCTTCCACTGCATTTTAATTTAGATAGCTTCTGTCCAAACTTTATTCATTCATTTTATAGTAAAATCAATCTGTATATATGCTATTGTACATAACTGTAAAAACCCTTTTTATAGTAATATACACTTGTATATTATATTCGGTACATATCCAGCTGTAAATTTAGTTCCTAACACTAGTTATCTATATATTATATTCATCTATTAGTAAGATTCTGTTTATGATGGTATTTATCTCTATACTTATTCAGTAGAAACCCATGCCCTGTATTTATGGAGCCATTATTTATCCTGCACTTGCTGCTATTGCACTTCTGGTTAGACCTAAACTGCATTTTGTTGCCTTGTACCTGTACCTGTGTAATGACTATAAAGTTGAATCTACTCTAATCTAATTATGCATCAGTTTGCGTTTAGAAAAATCCATGTAATGCAAAAAAAGTAGTAGATGTTCCCTTTTCCAAGGCACTAAGCTTCTCACTCCCCCTCTTCTTACAGACACCTTTGCCAGCAAAGTGGCTGCCATGCAAGATCAGCATGCCGATGCGTCTGTTGGGAACGTCACCGGCAGCAACGCGGTCAACGTGTTCCTGGGGATCGGCGTGGCGTGGTCTGTGGCCGCCATCTACTGGCAGATCCAGGGAAAAAAGTTCATCGTGGACCCTGGTTCGCTGGCCTTCTCTGTAACCCTCTTCACCATTTTCGCTTTCGTCTGCATGGCCGTGCTGCTCTTCAGGCGCCGGCCCTCCATCGGCGGGGAGCTGGGTGGCCCCAGGGTTCCCCGCCTGCTGACCACCATGCTGTTCTTTGGCCTCTGGTTGCTCTACATCTTCTTCTCCAGCCTGGAGGCCTACTGCCACATCAAGGGCTTTTAATAACCGAATGTTTCAGAGGCGTACTGGCCAGAAACACAAACAGCCTGTAAACTCTGACCTCCCCCCCGGTTCACACCTTCAACGATTCAACGAGTTTAAAACGGCTCAATGAAGCCAGGATGCTTCCTGGTCTTTGCAGAAATACAACAGATACATGTTCATATGTAAAGAGATCATTTTGATGCAGCTACTGGGATTATAAGAGAAATAACTGAGTCAACATGTTGCTGGTTAAGAGAAAATTGAGCAGGGCTGTGATGTTGGGCCCTATCATCACACCCACTTGGGTTTACTGTGGATCAGAGACATTTTTAAACATGATGAAGAAAAATAATTCCGTCCTGTCGCCTCTCGTCTGCAGCGACTCCACATGTTTTACACTGAGGAGGTGGAGCACTGTGTGAAAAAAAAAAACGAGTCAAATGTTTACAAAAAAAACGCTAAAATTACACGTTTACCGCAGGAGGTCCTCTTGATGTGAAGGCAGTCCTCCTCATGCGCTGTAAATAGACACTGAAAATACATACAGAGGATGAAAAATATCTCCATAAATGTGATTATTTAGCAGAACACTGAGAAGGGAGTTGAGGTCTTTTTCAAAAACTCAAAAGAGGACTTGAGCATCAAACATCTTTAACATCTTTAGCTCAGAAAACATTCTCGTTACCGACCCCTCTCTGTCAGAGGAGCGTTTTGCATGCAACAGCAGATGGAAAGCATCCTCAACAAACTTACTGTATGTTAAAAAGGGAATAACCACAATCCATCTGCTGCTCCTCGATTCCTTACATTCCTCTCAGATGGATCGACTCTTAAGGTGTAAAACTTGCTGCATGGTGACCGACAGGCCTATTTCTGCAGCATTTAACCTGTAATAACTACAGACACCTCGGCACATGCAGTCCATCGAGACAACAGTATTAGTTGACAGAAATTAAGTTCATAGAGTCGCTAAAATAGAAGGTGGTTGTTTAGAAACTGATCCCACCTTTCAACGCTTTTCTATTGGTCCACATGATTACGGTCTGCAGCACACAATGTACTAAACAACAGATGCCTTAAGGGAATAAAAATCACATTTAAATGTGGTATTCAAACTTTTAGCTGTACAAAACGCCCAGCTTTTCCTCACTTCTAGTGTTACGCTTGATTTAGTTGTGTGCAATATATAAAACTGGTTCTGCTGTCTAATGTAACACTGGATCTTGATGTTTCAGGTCAGGTAGGAAAAGATGTATGAAGAACAACATGCTTTACGGGCCTGGAAATACTTTTGTCTTCAGTAACCAAAAGAGAAAATGTGTCATATAGTTTCCTGTCAACAGCAGAGAGCGTCAGTGTTCAGAGCAGCGATCAGGACCTTCGTCTCTCATCTGAAACAGGAAGTCCTTGGTGATTTCACTCAGTGATGTTTGTAGAGTCTTGAACTTCTGCATACTGAGTGCTGACCTCAGAGGGAAGTGGAGGATGCCGCCCTGCAGGGCGCGCGTGTGTTGCTCAGTATTTTAATGCAGACTTTAAACAAGTCAGAGTGAAGCTACTGAAACTACCGGCTGCTAAACAGACTGTAGAAAATAACCAGAAATATAAACTAGGAGGTACGAAACCCCGGAGGTGTCTAAGAAAAAAAACTCCTCAAATTAATGGTGACATTTCAACACTGTCATTTGAGGGTTTTGTCTTTCAGATTGAGGAAGATGAGAAGTTAATGTGTGAGAAATATTTATAAACAGTGAACCATGTGAGGCATCTGCAGACGTTAATAATGAAATTATGAACTTGCTTCGATTAACAGCTTCAATTGATGTGATAAGTACTTTTGGATTAATTTTTGGTGTTTCTTGCATTATCAAACTTCACCTTAATTGCTAAGTCATTAGTGTTATTATAGCATAGTTAACCCGAAAAAAAAACTTTGTAAACTTTCTAAAACAGATTTTGTATCTTTTCCTTGCAGGTGAAGCCAAGGTCGATTTTTTCTATATTATTATAACATTCAGATTAGCTTCTGTATGTAAAACAAACAGACACCTTATTTCATTAATTAGTCAATTAGATTTTAATATATTCTTCACACCGTGAAAATTATCCAAACATTCCCACATCTCATTTACCCGGTATGGAAGTCTGAAACTGCCAAAATCAAGTAAAAAAATAAATGAATACATACATGAATTTATTAACACAAAATGTTAAAGATATAGTTTAAAAACGTTACTATATTTTCATTATCTTTATATTTCTTGGAGTTTTCCTATTAAATTCCCTTAAATTATCAATGTTAAATCGGCTGTATTAAAGTTTTAATCCTGTACAGAATGAAAGCAACAACAACAACAAAAAAACAGATAATGTGATAAACAGAGTAATCAAAGTTTGACTGGAATAAATGTAGAATAAGTTATCAAAGGAAATTTAATATGATTTGGTTTCTCTGGAGAGAGATTGTTTCATATGGAAATGGGTTTGAATAAGTTGGGATAGAGTTATATTTGGCTAGAAGAGTCTGAAACAGTTAATTTAAAATCACTCTTAAGTGGTCATTGTTTGTTTTGTCTGAAATGAGGAAGCTGTTCTGAAAGGCATTTAATTAATCTGAAACAAACCTGGGATTATTTTAGTTTCTCTGAAGACTGTTTAAATTTAATCTGATTGGAATCAGTTTGGTTGGTCCAGAAATGCTTTGGAACAAATTTGGATTTATCCGTAGGATATTAGTTGTTGTCAACTCTGCTCCTCAGAGCCTGTTGGCCTGCCTTTAGCTCAGATGGCTGCAGGGAAACACCTGAACATGCAGGGCATTTGGTCCTGAGGTTTAAAACTAGATTTACTGTATAAAGCCTTTTTCTTATCCAGTTTGGATCTTAAATATAGTCTGCATGTTGTAACTTGGTTTAAACTTGGCTGGAAAAGATACCCTTGCCTGGTACCACTTTGGAATGAGATTAGTTAGTCTTTAAAACATTTGGAAAAAGTTTTATTTGAGTGGAAATATCCTGGAACAAGTGTGGTTTGTCTGGTACCAGACAGGAATGTGTTAATTGATTCTGGTTAACAGTCTGCAAATGGAGGTGGAACTAGCTTGGAAAAGGTACAGTTTGTCTAATCCCAGTCTGGAAGACGTCAAGATGGTCTCGAAACAACATGGAAAGAGTTTAAATTTGGATGGCGGGATACAGAAAATCCTTCCTGCCTACAGCTATGAACACCTGGTTAAAATAAAACCCAGGTGTTACTGTATTATTTAATTCCCCTTTAGGACTAATGAAGGGTGTTTGAATAACATTGAATTTTGGTGGAACTAGCTTGAAGGAGGGGAAGATTTTCTGTTTGTGTTCTTGGGTAAGTTTAGACGGTCTGAAACATCTAGAAAGAATGAAAAGCTGTGGATCGGATGGTACCAGTGTGGAATCAGCTTAGTTTGTCTTGAAACAGACAGGAAAGAGGGTTGTTTGTTAAAACTAGCCTGGAAAAGATGTGGTTTGGATGGTATCAGCATGTAATGGGTTCGGCTTATCCAGAATGATCTTGATTTGTCCGAGTTTGGTTTGTCTAGAATCAATCTAAATTATTTTAGCTGTTTATTATTGGCTGGATTTACTATGTTTAACCTTTATTTGGTCTCAAATACGTTTTAAAAAAGAGTAAAAACATTTAGTAAAACTTTGTGACCTTACTTTCCCAGTAAATGAAAGATAGACATTTTAATTCAACGAGTCATTAAAGGAAGGACAGTAAAGGAATATATCTTCTCTTAAAAACTGTCAGTAACTATCTGAATCTCTGATAAACTTGGAGGGGAAAAACTAGTGGAATCCTAATATTCTGCTGAAGCTTAGAAACCATTATGAGATAATTCTGATAGAGAATCTTGAATTCTGTTTGAGTAAAACTAAAAGCTCAGTTTTGCTGATTTTATTTTAAGCCACTGCTGAACAAACTTGTAACGTTAGAAGTCGATCTTTCCTTGGAATGAAAATGTGTGTCTCATTAAGATCTGCATGAATCAAGGTTTAATTAACAATAGTTACTGCTTACATTAAATGCACTGGAAAAACGATCCAGAAATAACTAAAAATTCCTTAAATTAAATGTATTTACCCTTAATTTGAGTATGTAAATGAGATAGTTTTACTCTTTAAATAAGTAGATAACATACACTTGAAATAAGACAATGCAATTGTGTTTTCTTAGTTTAAGTGTAAATTGGCAAAATGTTTCTTTTACCTCCTCAATCCACGAACAAATGCACTTATTTTAAGAAAAAAAAACATAATTTTCCAGTGTATAACTGGGTGTCATCAGCATAGGCAATAATAACTGCTATATTCATGTAGAAAACTGATTATGATTAGTCTGTAACTGGGTGGAATATTGTCAGTATTTTAATAATATGTTAGGACTTAAACTAGTCTAAACTAGTCCCCTGATCAGTGAAAATAAGGTGCATTTAAAAGTGTACAGAACAACTGAGTAAATTGGGAATTTTAATATCCCAAATATGTTGATTTCCGTCTCCGTTTTGCATTTCTTTTTAAAATTCAGCTCCATCCTGAGATACATGGAGAAAATCCTAAAAAAAAATAAAAATAAAGGAGACATAAAAGGGAAAATACTTTTCAACATATAAAGGAACTTCATTAAATCTGAAAGAAATGTCTAAAATGTAATATATAATGGAAATAAATAGAAACAGATGTAGAGAAAACAGGACACTATGTAAGCATTAAGCTTTCATTAAGCGTTCATATTTGAACTGAAGGGTTAATACATTGGCTGGTTCAGTCTTCCATCGACTGGTTTCTGTTGATGTGGAATCATTGTGATCAGATTATTTATTTTCTTAGAGATAAGCTGCGCCGCAAGTCCTTGAGGTGAACCGTCTACAGTTTGGCCCAAGGAGTGTGGTCTTTTATGTGCAATAGTTCTCACCTTCTCCTGCTGCAGTGTTTACTGTAACCCTCCGTGCATTTCTTCATCCAGTCCTCGTGTCGGAGGGTTTTTAAGTGAAAGTAGCATGTTTACATGATGAAACAGTGTGGAACATTGCCGGTGAGACAGTTGGTCTCCGGCTGGGTTCGAATCAAATCTTGGCACATCAAACAGGGGCGAGCTGATCTTCTGATGGATGGAGGAGAAACGCTCAGCCTCAGCTGGAACCCCTCCAGCCTGGGGCTCCCAGCTCCGAATGGGACAGATCTGCTCGGGACGTCCCGCCAATGTTCCGTGTTTCCGTGAACTTCCTTACTGTCGGCTTCGGCCTTTGCTGTTCCTTAGGTAGATGTGATCCAACCCTCACAGCTGCCCCCCCTCCCCGGTGTGTTCTGTGTTTGCCTCCCCTCTGTGTTCCTCTGCACATGCATGAAGAAGCTGTGTGTTTGTTTGTTGGTGTGTTAGCAGCATGGTCTACTGTGATGGACGCCAGAAGACTCCTACATTTTCAAACTCTGTCTGTGAAACCACAGCTGCATCCAGAGACGCATCTGTCTACTGTTTCCTCTTTTTACTGCCTTTTCCTAACAGAAGGCCTCCTCCATTGTGTCAGGTTTCTTTAGTTGTATGATAAATCCACGTCTGTGTTGGTGTTCGCCTTCCTCCTCCCCCATTGCTCCTGCCCAGGTCTTGCTCTCTAACCTGTCTCTCTGTGAACTTGTTTTATGTGATGATTAAAAAAAAAATGTCTCTGCCTGAATCTTTGTAGGGAAACTATGACTGATCTATTATAATATCATGTGATAGACTTATACATTTATTTAGCATTCTAATAAATTAACTGACTTTTTTTTGTATGAAATGCAAAAGAAAAGAAATCTGAAAAAAAAAAGATAACTTGTTTTTGAAAACATGGCATGAGATGTAATGTGTTACCGAAAGAAAATGAAGGTCTTTAATCAAGTGAAGTTGACCTTAGTTAAATATAGTTTATTTATTTTCAATGTGTAACGAGTCTGAGTCGTTATTTGTGGCGTCAATGCAGAAGGACTGCAGAACCTTGTGTTCCTAAAACCAGAAAAAATGGTAACTTCGCTGCCAAACCAGGTGGTTCCGCTTATTCTGCCTAAATAATGTTGCATTTCTGAATTATTAAAAGGATTTTAGGTCCTGATCATCCGGCTTGAGGGCAAACGGCAATAAAAGCCATTAATCACACTCATTCTGATTCACTAGAGATGCATCAATGCGATACCTGGATCGGATATCGCTGATTTGGTATCGGGAATCCAATCCACTGCACTTTGCACGGAGCTGTTGTTTCTTTCTTTTTGCTTCTTATGCCTTAATAATGAATGTAATTTACATTAATATCTGTGTTGATTTATGTCAAGGTTAAAGCCTTCATGATATATGGTTCATCCATTCAAAAGGTGAATCAGATCGGATGTCTGCCGATACGCTCCACCCAGTTATCGAATTGGATCGGAACAAACTGGATCGGTGCATCTCCACAATTCACCATTTATTATTGGCTGTTAGCTCGACCTCCGATCCTGAAAAGCTCCAGAAAAAGGATGTTAAGAACTGTCACATGACCAGGAATATCTTCCTATGCCTTTTCGCTTTAATACCCCTGAAAAGTATTTATTCTCTTAAAGATTTGCTGTATTTTTGGTATGAAACTCGAATATAACAAAGATCTCCTAAATAACTCCAAAAAAGAAAATTAAAAACAATCCATTGGACGTTTTGCTTCCCATCCCGGAAGCTTTTTCATATCAAAATATCAGGAATAGGGGTCCACCTCTTTGGAATGGGGGTCGTTTGGCCTCTTTTGTTAGCCTGCAATGCCCCGTAGCTGTCTAAGTGTCTGAAAGGTGAGTCTTTAAAGGGAATTGTTGGCCTGGCTGAATAGGCGAGGTCCTCTGCTCTACTATACAGAGGGGCTGCGATGATAGCGGGAAGGGCTAGCTAGACCAAGCTTCTTGGATGGGAAGCGAAACATCTTCAAACTTGAAAACAAAGTCCAGTGGACTGTTTTTAATTTTCTTTTTTAAGAATGACTATGACCTGGATGACTAAGAATCTTCACCAGCGTATAACTTAGGAATATGTATCAAATGTTTGCTACCACTGACACTAAGTCCAACATCACTGAGGTCAGTGATCAGTCAGGTTATGTAGCTAAACTTAAGTTCAGACTTTGACTTGGTTGTTTCAAAACCTAATAGTTATTTTGTAGCTTTTCAGGTCAGTTTTGCTGTATAAAAGTGTAATTGATGCTGTGAGAAGATTCACGTTTTCTTTTTTTTTCTTTTTTTTGGAGGGTTAAGACCAGAATTCATGGTCTGAACAGGTGCTAAGCAGCAACACCATCCCAGACCATCACACTACCACCACCATGTTTGATTTTCAGTATGTCCTTCTCCTGAAATGCTGTCCTACTATTGCATCAAATGCAACATATTGCACACCGTCTAAAGTTTTTTCTTATCTTCAAGGTTTTTTTTCCCTACACCATGATGATCATTAGGTTACCTAGACAGTTTTATTTTTGTACTCCTGTGGTTGAGGCTAACCATGGCTGGCCCTTTGGGATTCATCTTCAGCAGCGTTGCAGAGAATCACCCTCACAAGAACAGACATATGGAGCTTATAGAGACAACTATAAATTGAGAAAAACTCATTTTAAATGTTGGGCAATTGTAGAGGCATGGATGGAAAAGAAAAAGAATGTTCAATGCCCCTTCAATGTGGAGGTTCCCAAACATTTCAGAGTGCCACAGACTGGTGTCTCCCTAAAAATACATATATATTTATTTTACTCTATATTTGCATCGATGTATAGCAGAGTATTTATATTTCTCTGGGAATACGTTTATTTTTTATTACCTTTATCATTTTAAGTTATTTTTCGAATCATTTAGTGGGATATCTAATTAATTAATGAAATTTTCTGTTATATTTGGATAAATATAAATAAAATGTCTCATCTGTAATATAATATCTACATATTTCATGGTAACTTTTATTAATATCATGTGACTTTCTTTTTCATAAACCTCAGGCATCACTTCAGGACCGCCTACCTAATAGTTTCGACCCTCAGTTTGAGCACCCCTGCCTTTCCTTTGCTTATGTCAGACACCTACCTGTGTTAAAACAAAAGCTGTAGGATATCAACTCTGCAGGACGTGACTTGGACCGATATTTCTAAATATTTCCCTCATGCATGCCTAGGTTCTCTGTGGCTTTTTTGGCCTCTTCCTACAGCCTAAAAATGTGACTGTTGGGACTATTAGTCACTTTAAATCACTGATTCCCAATGTTGGGGCCGTGATGCCACCTGGGCTCCTTAATCAACCAGTATGGGGTCTTGAGACTCATTACAGAAATTAAACCAACCAATAAATATTTATGTTAAATTGCTCAAGGAAGTATGAGCATAATATCGAAATGGACCAAACCAGCTGCTTTGGTTGTTAATGTGGCTTCTTATAGTGTTGTACCAACACCGCTACCAATATGGGATGGGGCCCCGATCCAGCACTAAAATGTACATAAAACATACATAATTATAACAAAATCAGAAAATTAGGCAAATCATTAATGAACCGTGAACATTTTTTATTTCTCTTGAATTTCAGCCACATTAGTATCAGGTTTTTTTTCTGTTGTACATGGTCACTGCAGGGAAAATATTTAAGAAAATGAGCTTTTTGAAAACATGCATTACGAAACTGCCCCCTGTGGCCAAAACTCAGAACTGCAGCACTTTTCTTCTCATTCTCATAGTTCGCCCTCGTACTTACTGTTGCACCGATAACCAGTATCGGGCGGGGCCCGTTTCAGCACTAAAATGGTGGTATCGGTATCGGCGAGTACCAACAAATAGGGCACCGATACCATTTTGAGAGCCTAATTTTATTCAACTATTGTCACCCATTCCAGGTAGGCATTAAAAGTTCTACTGGATTCACTTTGTATTAGTCTTTTTCCTGTTTAACAAAGGTAGGCAGCAGCTTGAAAAAGCCATGATGGTTATTATTTTACAACCAAGTAGTATGCAGTTCTTCATATATACACACACACATCAATTTCAAACAGATGGTATCATATGGTATGGTATCTGTATCGGCCAATACGGCACAGCCAGGTATCAATATCGGGGCCAAAAAATGGCATCGGTGCAACACTAGTTTCTAATAGGAAAACACATGTGGTTAGTTGATTTTTCCAGAAATGTTTTATACTCAAGCAACAGTTTGGGCTGAAAATTTTGGGAAACTCTACTCTAAATGACTCCTTAAAGGTGAGTATGTTTGTTTCTGGATGTTTGCACAAATTCCCAGTCATAAATGATGAATAGGAAGTATGTATTATTTTAATTTGTGAAGTACTCAGATAAAACTATTTTTTCAATAAATTATGATAGTGGAAAGAGGGTTGGATTTTACAGTTAGGTATTTTACGTAAATTATTCTAGAATAAAACTGCAGCTTCCACCTTCAATCAGGCGGAGGCGCTAATGGATGTTGGAACGGTCTTCTACCGCCTTAGTCCACAGAAGAAGAAGAACCATTAGAATCGGCAGCCACTACGACCAGCCGTGGAGGTGAAGTCGTTGCGGAAAGATATGCAGGGACTAGATTAAAAACCTGGCGGTTTAAAATTGTGCTGTTTTTACACTTCGGTAATAATAGAGTTTCATAGAGGCTCCTGGAGTTCGGTTTTCGGGAGGAGGAGGCAGAATAAAAACAACAACAGAAGACGGTAAGGCAAGCTTTCGCGTGGGCCGCGCGCCATTGCGATTAGCGGGGCCTGGCTATTTCCTGAATTGAACCGCTTATAGATAATATCGGGGCTCACTTTTGGGGCTATAATTAAAGGGTTTTCGAATGTAGGGTTCAACTGTGTTTCTGATGAATGTTGCTTTATACACCTAAAGCAAACCGGCCTTCCAGTGGGGGGAGGCTCTAGTCAAGCTAACAGCTACCCTGCGGCTCCGCAAAGGACTTTGTTCTGGATTTAAAATGACTATTATTGCTTACTAAACAGTAATAACAAATCCTTCATAAAAAATAAAAAATAAATGATGTTTCTGTATTGTAATTTCCTAAAATGGACCTTTACACAGCTGCTAACAGGAAGCTAATGATCAGATGGCTTCCTGTATGGTTCAGGTCGCTTCAATCGTAAAAACGAAACCAGGTTGTCAGGTGTGTTAAAATAGCACAAATTACCCTTTTTAAAATAAACATGATTGGATTGGATGACCTTTGATATAATCATCATGGTGAAACTGGAGCCAGAACGAGATGTTTAACTTCAGGTTTCACTTGTTAATGAGATGGATTGTATAAACACCGAAACTGTTGGATATGTTGCCTTTTGGAGGCGGTTAAGTGTCCGTTTCCATGGAGATGGTGTGGTTACCTCCCGCTGGCTTCCTGGAGGGAACAGATGAATATGCATACCATTCATTTTTTTTTCTTTCTGTAAGGTCTGCCATTTTAACTTCATTTAAACTTGAACAAATTTATCCGTGTTTATATATTAAAGCTAATTTCTTTTCTTGCTTTGTTTTAAATTTGATATTTTAACACTCCGTTTAAATTGAAACAGTGAATTAGTCCTTCAGTCTACCCATGTCATGTTGATTTTATAAATAGAAATATTCTATGGTCTATGAGTAACAGAGATAAAAGAGAGCAGATGCTTGCAGATAAAAACTGGGTTAAGAAGAAGAGATTTGGTGAAGGCAATTTTAACCTAAAATATAATGAATACAGTACAGTATGTTTAAAAAGAATGGCATACTTGGAATATATGTGCAACTGTATAAGGTGGTGTTTTTGGGCAGTGGTGCCCTAGTAGGGCATATAGCTAGGAATCCTGAGGTTCTGAGTTTGAGCACCACTCCCACAGACTGCCACTCTGGCTCTCTGAGCAAGACCCTTAACTCCTGATTGCCCTCTGGCTGTCCCACGATGGCAGCCCACTGCTCCCCAAGGGGATGGGTTAAATGCAGAGAGTTAATTTCTCCAATGTGAGATCAATAAAGTTCAATTATTATTTAAAATGTAGAAATTTGCTTGTATATTTGTGCAAAAACAATTATTTGGACAATCGCAAAAATATTAAAGAATATGTGTCTTCTGAGAGCATCAGTTGGCCAAAGTCAAGCCAAGTCTTACAACATTTATGGTAAAAAAAATGAATCTAAACTAAAGTTTGCTTCTTTTCAACAGCAAAGTACTATTATTATTATTTTTATTATTTTCTTTTGAGTATCACAAGCTCGGTTTTATAAGTCCCACTTCTCTCTGTCTGTAGGTAAGGAGAAATGTCCTACCATTCGTCCTCCCGGAGCTCGTCTCGGGCCGCCGACTGTAAAGTGTATGTCGGTGACCTCGGTAACGGCGCTGCTAAGGGCGAGCTGGAGCGAGCATTTGGTTATTATGGCCCGCTGAGGACCGTGTGGGTGGCCAGGAATCCACCAGGCTTTGCCTTTGTGGAGTTTGAAGATCCCAGAGATGCAGAGGATGCTGTCAAAGGCATGGATGGAAAGTAAGTCTCTTTGTTTATATATATATATATATCCTACCGAACATCCTTAAGGAAATGTGTATTTTTACTGACTGAACACGGTGTGGCATTTTGTGTTTAGGATCCTGTGTGGTTCCCGTGTTCGTGTGGAGATGTCCACTGGTCTCTCCAGGAAGGGCCGCGGACGCCCCAGCCGCCGCCAGTTTGACCCCAATGATCGGTGTTACCAATGTGGGGACCGGGGCCACTACGCTTACGACTGCTACCGCTATAGCAAGAGGGGCCGGCGCAGCAGCAGGTGAGTGAGCTCTGTCTTTCCTGTTCAGCGGGTGAAGCTCAGCAGGAGGGTGTTAACCCGTTGGTGCTGGTATTCCAGGTCTCGTTCTCGGTCCAGGTCCCGCTCCAGGTCCAGATCCCGTGGCCGACGTTATCAGTCTCGCTCCCGCAGCCGTAGCCGTAGCCGCAGCTACAGTCGGTATGTTGACATGGAAACAGACACGCCATTAACAAGTGAAGGCTTGTTTCCAATATTTCTGTTTTAGGAAACAAAGTACTTTATTTCCACAGTTAAGTTTACATTTGCTGTGTTGTTGGTCGGTCGTAACTATTGTGTTTTCTGGTGCTGAATCATGCCGCTCAGACTGGTGGTGTTCACTTTTTTTCCCCTTCTTCCACCAGGAGCCGCCGTAGATCTCCATCGTATTCCAGACGCAGAAGCCGGTGAGTTGCAGCTTCCTTAATAAAACCTCGGGCTTCAGGCATGGTGCCATCTGAAACAGGGTGGCTGGTTGTTATCTTACTCTAAAATCGCTTAACCTGGAGGTTTTCAGATGGTTTTAAGTAAAACATTCTTTGTTTGTTTCTCATCAGATCTGGGTCCCCAGCACGGTCCAAGTCCAGGACTTCAGTGAGAAGGTATGCCGTCTGTAACATGTCAGGCTCCACCACAGCCAATCAGGGGAATGTTTACAGGGTTTTCCAAGTCTTTTGAAAATCATTAAGTCTTTAAGAATATTATTTTTTAAATTAAGGTCTGACTTGGTATTCAAAATCCTTAACTGTGATTATTGTGGCATTTAAAATGCTTTAATAAAAAGTGTAAGAGCATTAAAAAGCATTAAATTAGAGTTCCTCATTCCTTTATAAATCCTGGTTTAGCTGCAGGATTGAAACTGACATTAAGGCCCACCGTCGCTTGTTGGGATAACAGCCTTTCATATTTTTTTATCTTTAGGTTTTATTTATCAGTCATTAATCCTTCCTCAGTAACAAGGACTTTTATAAGACTCATAATCTTTGTTTTATTGTTGCATTGCAAACTAATTTACTATTTAGGTGGTTCTTTTTTTTGTGGTTGTTTTTTAATTTTTTGATGCAAAGAAATAAAAACCTGGCTCTCAGTTAAAACGGTGGTGTTTGCTGCGGCTTTATCTATGACTGTGGTTCAGGTAGGACTAATTCTTTTCTCTGCATAAGTACTCTGGGGATTTTCCCTTCAAATGAGTTCCAGAGCCAAACTCGTGCTAACGTTTGCTTGGCCCTTTTTGTTGTACTACTGCTTATGGGTCCATCACAGAAGAAATGGTGGGGGAGGGGTGGCCTAGCTGTTTGCAATTTGCGCTTGGAATCCAGAGGTTCTAAGTTCAAGCCCTACTCCCACAGACTGTCAGTTTGAGTCAGTAAGCAGCAACCATAAGTCCCACACTGCTCCCCGGGCGCCGCACAATGGCAGCCCACTGATCCCCAACAGGATGGATTAAATGCAGAGGTGAATTTCTTCATTGTGAGATCAATAAAGTTCAGTTAATATTAGCTAATTCGTTTCAAATATCAGAGTGCCTTTGTAAATCAGGCTGCCTAATTTAAGACGAGCACAATTGAAATGTTTTTTTTTTTTTTTTTTTTGCTGAATCAACGGACCATGGGTATGGGGTTAGGCATTTATCTTATTATTGTGATAAGTTTCTAATCGTAAGAATTTTAATTCATAAATTAAACAATAAATTACATTTAATGTAGATTTAAAAGCTTCAGTAAGTGGGGAAATTGTTAGAAATTTTATTATTTCTTTTTATTTTATTTTTTTATGTGACTTTAAAATAGCCTCCAAAGGAAGACTGTGAAGAAGTGATGTTCTTTTTTTTCTGTCAATTTTATCTTTATCACCACATTTCCACTCAGTATTGTGATCATATTTGAAGTATATCTCATCTAACCCTACATGAGTGTAACGCTACCACAAAAAAAACTAGTTGGTTTTATCTGTTTTTAAGTGATGCAATTATTATTATTTTTTTCTATCTAAGGAGAAATAAACGTTATTTGGTTTAATTTCTGTTGTGGATCTTAAGACCGAATCAGTGGTGTAGGTGACGCGCTGAGTCAAGGCTAGGTGGCGTGTTGCGGAGGTCCAGCTGCCCTCATGTAAAGAAGCGTAACTGGATCTAGATAAGTTTGGTTTGAAACATGTGATTTATGTTTGTTCTGTTTGTTTTATTCCTCTCAGTCACTCTAGGTCTCGGTCCCGGTCAGGCTCTGCCCCCAGGGGGCGCTCTGTGTCCCGTTCCCGCTCTCGATCACCATCGGCTAACCACAAGAAGGCCAGGTAAATTCAAAGTCTCATTGTCTCTATCTGCACTGGGGTTGGGGGTCTGATAAATGTGTCATAGTTCATGTTTGTAACATCGCAGCAGGAAAAAAAGGGTAGATACCCCACCATTAGCTAGCCGTTCAGGTTAGAGTCAGACATGTTAGCCAGGTCAGGTGCCCCCTCTAGGCCCACCTCCAGCCAGGGGTCACGCTCCTGCCTGCCGACCCCAGCATGACGATGAGTGGGAGGATCCGAAGACACGCCGGGGCTTCACCAGAAGACGTCTGCAGCCGGAGTGGTGAACTGGGTGGAGTAAAGCAGGAGAACTGAGCTGTTTGTCTGACATAGGGAAAGTCCAGCAGATGACAGATTGGACCTCCTGTGCTCTCTTTTCCGGATCCATGTGGCTCTGAATCGGTTGCTTTGATCCTGAAAAGAGAGCCCAGGAAAGAGGATCTGGGCTCAGCCTCTAACCTTTACCTGAAAGCTACTTTCAGCAGAAGGAGCAGCAGCCACCGCCCAGGTTCTCCTGCTCCTCCACCTCAGACAGAGCCACCTACCTTTTATTTTTATTTATTTTTTTATAACAGTTGAAGGCTAAGAAAGTAAGAAAGATTTGAAATGTTCAGACAGGATATTCATGTCAGTAAAATTAAAGTTCCCTGTTCTGAATTGGGCTAGCTCAGTAGAATTCTCCAGAACTTTTCTAGATAAGATCAGCTAAATCAGCACCAGGGGTGTGACTTGCGGTAAACATCTTTGCAGAAGTTTTGTTTATTTTTCATATTTTCTTTAAAGCGTGTGGTGGGAGCTGAGCACTGCACAGACACCGCCGCTGATCCCAGGCCCAGGGTCTGCCAGCTGGCGGTGTGCACGTCCTGCGGGAGGTTGACTAAGCGCTGACCTGAGATCAGCCTTCGCCTGCATCTGATGTTAGACAGCGAGAAAGAGGTCGACCTACCGACCGAACCCTCCCCCTCAGTGAACGGATGACTGTCTGTTCAACCGACGCACACGCTCAGACGAGATCAGCCCGCACACACATACAGTTGTTCTACTAGACTCACCCAGCCAGCCTTCAGATCTACCAGAGGGCTGACCCGCACAGATCAGAGTTCGGCCTTAAAAATCCATTACCTACTACCAACCAGACCCCCCCTACCTACCAGAGTTCTTCGCCTCTGTCTTAGCTTCTGAAAGTGAGAGAAAGAGCTGACGAGAGATCAGTCTTCAAGAGCCTCCAGTGTCTCTCCGAGTTGTAGTCCTCCGTCCTTCAGTCCTTTGATCCTTCGCTTCTCTGTACTTGTTGTTTCTGCCGCTGTCTCCAAAGGTAACCAAAAATCAACCCCCCTGACAAGCTCATGTTCATGGTGACAGAAATGTTCAGGCTTGCTAGAGTTGAGCCTTAAACAAGCATGCTGAGAGTGCGACTGAATGTGGGAGTGACTGGATGGGTGAACGTGTGCGACACAGACAGACACAGATGATGTTAACAGGTGTAATGAGAGGAGGGTGTTATTCACACATGCTGCCACAGCTTTGTCCTGTAAGACCTGTTAGAATAAGATGATTTATTAGTGTCAATAATATATACTTATTTGGCCTTTGATTTACAGTTAATTTTCCAAAGATGAAAACAATGCAGAATATCCATAGGTGTGTAGTGCTCCATCTTCTCCTGTTGCCATCTGATTCCTTTCCATTTCTGTTTCAGTCGCTCCCGCTCAGCAAGTCCAAACCGAAGCCCTACGCCCGCAGACGACTGAGTGAGCTCCCCCTCACCGCTGTCCTAATCGGGCAGCCCCTCGACATCCTGTCTGTTTTTACAGCCCGGCAGCAGCTGTCTTTTTTTTTTTTTTGTATTAGTTTGTCTTGTTTCTCTTATTTCCAGATTATTTTTTTACCTTCAGGACTGCCGTCTCTACAGCTTCATAATGTCAGGATCTTTTGTCTGTATCACAGAGAGAGACATAGATAGGAGTGGTTTTTAATTGTTGCTGCTATGTAAGTAATCTTTATTTTCCAAATTGTTGCGCAGGTAGGATGCAACGCCTTTAATTCATTTGATTTTTTTTTTTTTTTTTAGCAGTAAAATTCAGTTCTTCCAGTAAAGATGTGGGGATGATAAACTAGGACGTGGATATGAACATAAGTTGATGTATCGGCAAAAACTTTCTGTTCTCAGTTGTTGCTCGGGTGTAAAATTGTTTTATGTATTTGTCTCCCAGTCGCACCATTTGACAGAAAAAGTCGGTCTGCATGCCTTTGGATTTGTTTTTTCTGCTTTGTTTCCCCTCATGAACCTAATTAATGTCCCTGTGCTGAATTATTTTCTTCCTACCTTGGGTTTGTGGCTCTGACTGGGTTTTAAAATGCTTGAGTTGATGCAGCTTTTTTTCTTGTTTTTGGCTTTAGAAGTAAACGTGTGGCTGTATTATTTTCAAATAAACATCTTCATCATCTTATGCTGTAATTGTTTCTTTTTTGGATCAGTTGTTCAGTGTATTGTTTTTAAACTGCTGTTAAAGTGCAGCGGTAATCTAAGGGCATGTATTGTTTACGGCACTAGAATAAAAGCGCCTCAAGATTTAGCTTTTAGGTGAAATGAGTCTCAGTATTGATCCAATAATCACTAGATGTGGTTTTATTTACCTTCTAAATTAGAGCTTTTGTCTCATTGATATACAACCTGAACCATACTTCATTTCAGAGTTTGGAGCGTTACAAAATACCAGTGACCATGCTAGCTATGCTAAATAATGACACCCACCCGCCTGCATCTTAGGCAGAATTTTATTTCATTTTTTTTCCCTAAAGCAGGTTGTTAAGCAACTTCCTAGGTTATATTAAGGATTTGTTTTTTATTTTTTTAGATGCAGTGTAGGATCCAGTTAATTCATGAGGATTAATAACATTTTTATTTGTGGATCTTTTAGTTGAGGTCATATATTTTCAGTTACGTTTCTTATTATGTATCGAACAATTTAGGTGGATACGTTTAAAAATGAAGCTGTCAGGGGTGGGACCAGCATGCATCTGGGTGGGTGTAGGATTTTTTTTGTTTGTTTTAACGCAAAGAAGTAGGGAGAGAAAAGCTGCTTCTTTGCAAATGATAAATTGTAAAGCTGAAGAGGTTTTACTGGAATATTGACTTCTTAATAGCTGCATAAATTACTTCACAGTCCACCTATGGGCCATGGATTTTTATTTTTTAACTGGGTCACATCATACAGATTATTATGAGGTGTTTGTCTATATCTGCATAGATGCTGCAATGCTATAAAGTGATGGGAGTGTTCTGAAAAAGAACCCACCTCCATATCCTGCAAAGGTTACCAGTTTGGTGCTATGTACAGCCAGAGAAATATTTGGGGCGCAGTATCGGGCGTCGGGATTTGCTGGATGTGCAACAACATAATATGCAGGGAAAAAAAATTTTTACTCACTTGAAATTTTTGACCAAATTAAACCCATCTCTAAATTTTATAAATAAAACATGAAACGTTTTCCTTTTCTACTTATATAAAAACGGTACCGACTTATGACATGTTTTAAATTAAATTTGTATTAATGCCATACAACACTTAAAGTCTAAACCTGGTTGATATATTGTTTTGAATTGTAACAATGAGATTGCTTCTATGTCCAAGTTTAAAATAAAAGATGTTCTTTAAGGATATATGTTTGGATATTTTTATATGAAAGGATGGGTTTGGTCTTGGGTTTAAGTTTGTAAGGTGTATTTATTTACTTGCTTCTAGGACTAGAATACAACTTTTGGTTTATCAAGTAGAGCAGGCATCCTCAATGTAGGCCCTCAAGGGCCTCTGTGCTGCAGGTTTTAGAGGTTTCCCTGCTTTAGCACAGCTCATTATGATTATTGCAGTTGAGCACAAGCCTGTTAATCAGGTTTCAATTAAAATCAGCTGGAGCAACGCAACCTCTAAAACCTGCAGGGCAGCTGCCCTCAAGGCCCAACTTTGCAGATGCCTGAAGTAGAAAAAGAACGCAAATAAAGTAGCTCTTTTAAGTTAGAGCTTTGCATATAGCCCGTTTCTACGTTTTAAAGTCTTAAACCATCTTCAGTAAAAGTTCAGTTAATTTCCTCATGACTTTTCTAGAGGCTTCACTGCTTTGTTTTTTTTTTTTAACCTTTATTTTGAAAAACAGTAACTTGCATGTGAATAGTGTTGTATAAATAAACTTATTTTGCCCAATACAGTTAAAATATCATCCACTTCAAATTTTAATTGATTGTGAAAACAAGTCATTGTGACAATCGCCTAATGACTGCTATTCGAGTTTTGGGCAGTAAAAACTACAACCAATGATATCCCACCTCTTATTGGCTAAAAGGAAAGATCGACAATCCCTCCAGCCTATAAGCGCGCGTTGCGTCACTATAATGGGTGTTGTTACGCACGCCTCGTTTTTCATGAATTTTCCGTCCATTTCAGTTCAGCATTCTTTTAGTCCGGGACAACATGGCTACTGCAGCGAGCCGTTACTACAGCGAAGACGGCAGGGCAACAAAACGACAGAAAACCGACGGAATGGCGGTGAGTTTTCACCCTAAAGCCTGCGTCACCGCCTCTTTTCACGTTCGGAACGATTAGAACCAGTTTTATCGGTACCGCTTCGGGGGGTTTCGTATATATTCAATCATGTAGGCTTTTGCAAAGGGGGTCACGACGCGACGCAATACCGTTGTTCCACCGTTTGGAAAGAGGCTAGCTTAGCCGTGCAGTTGATTTTATAGGTTATATAACTACCAAAAGCTCCATGATTTTTTTCTTCTTTTTTTTTTCAACGTGTTTGTTTTTCGCTCTGAATGAGTGCCAGAGAAGGCGGTTTTTTCCGGGCCTCATCTGGAGCCCGACTTTGTCCTAGAACCGCTAATGTAGCATGATCCCTCTGGGCTAATAGGGGTCTACAACCTATACGACCGGAAAAGCTGTTTTAGCCATCAGTCCAGCTGAATATCCATTGTATTTTTTTCCACAGTTTATTTTTGTTTTATGTAATAAAAAAAGCTTTTGCAAACTAATAAACGGTATTTTTTTTTCAATGGGATTTTGCTTTTTTCCCCGAAAATAATGTAAAACGCATATTTTCCTCCCAAAGGAACAAATTAGTAGATGTAAAAAAGCTAGAATAACAGTCTATATTATTGCAGTGTGATCATTCCATTATTTGATCCATGTTTTAAAGCGGTTAGCCAACTCTTAATCAGTGTTAGCCTCAGTTTTATTGACCCATTGTGGAGGAGCTAAGTAATCACTAGTTGGAGTCTCTTGGCAAACCTAACTTTGCAGTGTTTCCCCTACTTTCCCCGAGATTAAACAGCAGATCTAGTTAAAAACAAACGTTTTGAAATCCCCCCCCATCCCCCCTCATAGTTTCTGTACAGAGCAACCATAACCCATTCCAGGGACTCTCCATTATCTAGTTTTGGCAACAAATCCAACCTGTAGCATAATAAACGGGTGTTTATAATGGCTCCTCCTCTTTTTCTGCTGCTGCAGGGATACGAAGACCCACACAAGACTCTTCCTTCAGTTGTGGTTCATGTCCGGGGACTGATGGATGGAGTCACAGAGGCTGACCTTGTAGAGGCCTTACAGGAGTTTGGGGCAATCAGGTAAAGATCTAAAAATATATCTACAAAATCCAGAGAGGATTAAAGGGCTGGTTATACTCCTGCAGCAGTGTGTCTCTGTGAGCTTGTTGCAGATATTTATGATTATGCCCAATATTGATATCTTCATGAGTCTTTTTCCACAATGGCAGTCACACAAACACAACAAGCCGGTAAGGTACCAAACACGAAATATGCATAGTGTAGAGCAGATGTATTTGACCAATCAGAGGCCTCCTGTCTGCAGACACCTACAAATTTGGAGAGGTGCACCAGGGGGTCTGCGTCAGAGGCGGGGGCACATTTGCATTCACTGCGACACACACAGATTCCCTGGTTTTTGAGTATAAACCAACCTTTAACACCCTCAACGGCACCCCGGTAGCGAACAGGGATATGGTGTAAATTCATGCATATGACTTATCTGTTTGCTACTGGGCGCTGCAAAAAAAAAAAAAAAATTCTTCCTTGAAATGAGTATATTGTAGGCTATAAGGCGATTTCCCAATGGAATGGACCCAGCATAGAATAAATTCAGTGCTGTAGAGCAGTGTTTTTCTATCCTGGTCCTCATGGCACCCTGCTCTGCATGTTTTGGATGTTTCTGAGGTTCAGCACACCTGCTATAGAGCCATGAACTTAACAGGCCTGTTTCTGTTGGGCAGTTTTAAGATGTGGGGGACTAATTAGATGGACCTGGAACATGATGTGGAGGATGTTGAACATCTCCCACTAATTAAATCATCTCCAGCATTTTAATTCTGTTTTCTGTTAACTTGATATTCCATCGTAAGATCTGTTTTTCCATTCTGAGCCTCAACATTTATACCCATCCATTCATGTTGTCGGTCTTTCCCAGAGTTGCATTCAGATTCTATCCTACCATCTTGTTTGAAACATTTAAATTTTAAAGTTGTATATACTTAGCATTTTCAGTTTTAAATACACTCTTACTAACTACATCTGAAAATCTGTTTTGGTCTAAAATCAGTGAAATTTTCCTTGTGTTTTAGAGGCTCCGTTTACCTACATCAGAAGTTTCTTCATTTCTGAGAGATGGGGTAGCAAATTCCAATCCAAATTCGCTTCAGCTGCACGTTTTGGGTCTGACTACCCTGAAATGATCTAATCTATATGTTGTATTCGTATGAGTTCTTATGGGGCTTGGTCCCAAAAGGGCACAGGTAGTTGGAAGTAGAGGTGGGATAAACATTAAGTTAAACCATTTAGAAGATGTGATGGTTCTGAGAAGTTGGGTTGATTTTTCTAGCCATGACTGCAGGATATCTGGGATTGGGGAGCCCCATTAGATCAAATTAACATGGGATCTAGGGATTAACTTCAAATCTACTTTGAAACATTATATATGCTATTAAATACATAAAAATGAAAGAAATTAAGCCTTACTTGGTCTGCGGCATGTAGCCACTAACATGTTGCTCCTGGCTAACATTGACATTAACCTATTTAATCCTTGGATCAATTTCACTAGGGCATCCTTTCTAGAGTGTTTTTTTTTTGTTTTGTTTACCTCTTCCAATATTTTTAAAGCTGCTAGAAAGTAACTTTTCTACCTTTGATTGACATTAATGAGCAGAAGACCAGGAAAATGGCCCGAATGAAGGGAATCGGTGCAAATGATCCAACTGTAAAACAATCAAAATGTCTTTTAATTGGTCAGGTGTTTCACACAAAAGATTGTTTCTATTGTTTTGTTCTGATGCCTGTTTTGGTTTGTTAAAGGGTTCCACAAGAGTTTCTTTTTTTTTTACTTGCAGAATCAAAAGGCTTCATAGAGCTAAAATTGATTGCATTTGTGTTTCAGTTATGTTGTTGTGATGCCAAACAAGCGGCAGGCTCTGGTAGAGTATGAGGACATGAATGGATCATCTACAGCAGTTACTTACGCCGCAGACAACCAGGTTTACATCGCTGGACACGCAGCCTTCATCAACTATTCTACCAGCAAAAAGATTTCCAGACCAGGCGACTCTGACGACTCCAGGAGCGTCAACAACGTTCTTCTCTTCACCATCATGAACCCCATCTACCCCATCACCACGGTGAGGACTAACAAGATGGTCCACTTACAGCAAAGGGTTCGGATACCAGAAAAAAAAGAAGTTCATTTCTGCAGCTACTTTAACTCATTTTTAAATTTAAATAACTCTGATGTTAATGACTAAACCTATCAGTACCTTTTTTAAATGTGTGTTGGCCTTGTCAGTTTAAATTGGGAAAATGATTAGATGTCATTACTTTCAGTCTGTGCCTCTAAAGGTTGCAAGATTGTAGCTGTTGAGGATTGAATTTGGGCAAATTTTGGTCAAAGGCTTCAATGTTTTTATCAGAATGTGACAGCAGCTTTGTGGCTATAAGATTACAGCCATCTAGAGACCAGGAAACGGACATTCCTTTAAATGATCGGATTAACCGAAGACAGTCCGGCCTTTTGTCCAAATTGATCCAGTGCGTCACAGTTTCAAACATCCGCTTGATTTAATATCTTCCATGTTTTCTTTTTCTCCTCAACCCCTCCTTTGTGTTTCTCCAGGATGTCCTCTACACCATCTGCAACAACTGTGGACCTGTTCACAGAATCGTCATCTTCCGGAAAAACGGCGTCCAGGCCATGGTCGAATATCCTTTATAAAATGACATCAGTTTGCCCTGCTTGCATATATTTACCATGGGTAAATGCTGTAATTCTCAGGTGTTTATTGCAATAATGTGAAAGTCATTAAGATAGACGGATAACAGGCATATCTGCAGCTGCCGGGTTTAGTGTCTTGCATAAAACATCCTTCCTTAAATGGAAAACCTTAGATGCTGCTGTTCATAAAATTAGATTCAATGAGAAACAAAGATAAATGTCATAAGGAAATCTGAGCAGAACGTTCGTTCCTCAACTTGTCATCACATTTGACTCGGTGCAGAGTGCGCAGCGAGCCAAGGCATCACTCAACGGAGCAGACATTTACTCTGGCTGCTGTACCCTGAAGATCGAGTATGCTAAGGTACGCCCACGATGCACGACTCCCGTCCTCACAAACACTAATAGGCTGGTTTTTCTCCCGCAGCAGTGAGCTTATCGCAGATATATTTGATTTATGCCCAATATTGAAGCCTGGTCAGTGCTGTTATTCAAACGCAAGAGGGACAATCAGGAACTAGCTTTGGGTCTAGATACCGCCAAGGCGGTGAGGAAATGGAAAAACGCAAGGGGCAAGTTTGTGCGACAACCAAGGGGCATGAGGGTGAAAAAGAGCGGATGTAAATTTGACAAATCAGATGCCTCCTGTCTGTGGTCACCTACAATTTTGGAGAGGTGCACCAGAGTGTCTGGGGCAGAGTCGGGGGCACATTTGAATTCACTGCGACACACGCAGACCACCTGGTTTCTCACTATAAACCAGCCTAAAGGTGCAAAGTTTAGATGTTTTCTAAACTCCTTTAAACCGTACCTTTTTAATGATAGTGATTAATTTGATTAACTGATTCTAAGCTAAACAGCCTAATTTTTTCAATTAGTTGGGACTTTTTGGGGGGGAAGTGAACAAAATGTCAAACTCGTACGCGGCGTGAAATTGTGAGGTGTATGTGTGTTTGTGAGTGACTCACTTCTATAGAAACCAGAGGGAAAACCATTTTTCCAATTTCCCCATCACAATGAGGACCAGTTGTAAAGTGAGGACATTTTGCTAGTTCTCACAAGGCATTTTGCTAATGGTTAGCTTTAGGGCTAAGGTCTCAATAGGGTAATGGTTAGGTGTGGTTTTAAGGTCATGGCCTAGAAAGGGTTAAAAATGACTGAAAATCAGTGGGAGTCAACACATGGTCCTCACTACATATAGCAGAACAAACATGTTGGTGTGTGTATATACGAATATATTGATACAGAATAGTGAATGGTTGGTTTGTCAAAAGGAGGAAAAGTACAATAAAGACGAGAAAAGATTCATTTTGTTTTGGTTTTCAAGTCCTTTTTATTGTGATGTTTTAGTGAAGTTCTCTTTCCCTCTGGATTAAACAGGGTTTCTAATCACAGGACCCATCATTGATTCCTGAACAGCTGATTGGCTGCTGGTTGGAGTGTTATCTGAGATTTAGATCAATTCTCAAAGCTAGCCTGTTCTAGAACAGGTTTGCTGTTCAGATTACGTTACCATGGTGATGAACCCCACTGAGAATGAAACTAGCTTGAAGTACAGGCCTCTGCTGCTAACATTTAGTGAAACATTTTCATTGTTGTGAAACATGTTTCACAGGATAAACAATGATAAATTAAGTCAGAGCTACTTTGTGAAGCAGTATTCAATTCATTTATTTTCTCTTTATTAATCCCAATGAAAAATTAAAAGTTGCAGCAACTCATAAGTTATTTTTTAAATGGGTTTTGTAAATGTTGACACTGTTGTTTAATAATGAAGATGCCCACTGAAATAATCTGAGGTTCTAGAGGAGTTCCTAAAACAGTGCCAGCCTTCATTATCAGCTTGTTAAGCTTTTTTTGTCATTAGCTCTAATACTGTTACCCCAGCAGAGGATGAAGAGATCTCTCTCCAAAACAGATCTATAGATGATGAGTAGCATCTTGCTGCAAACACTAAAGGACCTGAGCTTCGTTAGGAAGTACAGTCTACTTTGTCCCTTCTTGTAGACAGCTTCACAGTTGCGTCTCCAGTCTAGCTTGTTATCCAGATGAACACAATTTTTACAGTGAAAGAAAAGGGAGGAAAAATGCATTTAATCAGATTTGGTAGGGAAAAACCCAGCTGTAGTTTGATCCAAGTACGCCTGCATTTTAAGTTTTTTTTTTTTTTTCCCACATGAAGAGAAGAGATCCAATCCATCTTAACCCTGTAACATTTTACTGGGTTTAAATGATAACCTGTTATTTTAATATAATCTGATTAGATGTGATGGTTTATTTTGGGTATAAATTCTTGTTGTTCTAAATCCACAGCCTACCCGCCTGAATGTGTTCAAGAATGACCAGGACACCTGGGATTACACAAACCCCAACCTGGGAGGACCAGGTAAAATCTGCTGAACATCTTCAGTCGATGGCTGAGGGCCACACATCTGTTACCATGGAGACTGGGCAGCCCTAGTCCTTACTGACCATACAACTAGTCCTTAGAGGGCTCAGTCTCCCCTCACTAGTTAATCATCTGTGTGCGAGGGTCACATACATGTTTGTCCGAGTTGAAATCCTCTGTGTGTAAACGCTATGGATGTAAACTGAACGTTGTGCTGGGATGTGCAGGAACAGCCTTGCAGTCAGGAGACAACAACCTGGAGGTTTTCTCATCATGGTGGCGTAACTCCCATTAGATTAGAACCAGCCTTGATGACAAACATTAGTAATTGGAGGCCCTCATTCTTCCTCCTGTTGGCACGCCGCTGGTCTAGTTCAGTCTAGTTGTTTACCAGTGATCAGGGAAGGATACCTGTGATTGGTGAAGAACAGGAACTCCCTTCCTCTCATTCACAGATTCTGCAGTAATGCCTAAAAGCAGACAGACAATTGAAATCTCTACACTTTTTAAATGATTTTGAACTTGTTGGAATGGTATGCTGCAGAGTTTAAGGCTTTTAGAGTCGAGTCATTGAGAAGTTAAATAAATTATACAGATTTTGTAAACCAGATGAAAAATGTGCTGATCAGTGCAAAATACAAGAAGCTTTTCTTTCATTAGTGGACTTAGCTTGATAGCTTTAACTCTAGATGCGGGTCATTTTAATGCAGTAAAGCTAATATAGTCACTGAACAATATTATCACATGATTTACTATTGTTAATATAAATAACCCTGATATCAAAAGTTTACGTGATTAACACAAAATAATTTTTTTTTTTTCCTAAATAGTAATTTTCTGACTTTTAGGACTATATGGTCTGATAAAGAGTACATTTATATACATGTTTAAGCCATAATAATTTGACATTTAAATATGATTTCTCTAAGACTTTGAGGTTCCATCAAGAAACCTTAAAATGAACAGCTTAACTTTTCTTCACATTAGGGCGGTAAGAGGCATAAAATTTGGTGTAAAGTTATAAATGTTCAAGTAGGGCTGGGCGATAATTCAATAACGATATATATCGATCGATAGACGTGTGGCGCAATAGAAATAAAGCGGGTTGATAAAAGTTCGATAAAAAAGAAACGCTGTTTTCCTTCCTTCTCATTGTAGCCTAGCATGTAGGTTTATGTTAATCACTACGTCCTCCCAAACAATCACAATCGCGGACCCAGGCACAGAATTGTTTTAAAGAAAAATAACTTAAAAGACCTGAGTTATGTTATTAAATACTGACAAAGAATAAACTAAAGTGACCAGAACATAAATGGACGCCCCCCCCTTAAAAGACCTGAGTGACCAATTCACCAAGCGCCGCCCTCTCAAACCACAACACAGAGCAACATGAAGATGTCGCAGCAAGGAGAGGCGGAGGAAATTGTTTTCAGGGCAGTTTCCCACATAGTTCTAACGATTGAGAGAAAAATGCTGTCATGCCATTTATTTTCTGGTCACTTTAGTTTATTCTTTGTCAGTATTTGATAACATAACTCAGGTCTTTTAAGTTATTTTTCTTTAAAACAATTCTGTTATGGTTAAAAAAGTTGGTTAAATAAAGATTTAATTAAAGGTTTGTGTTCTTTATTAAAATTGAATCATTTAGCAATATCATAAAAAGTCCAGGTAGAGCTGCACATAAAATATGGTTTCAAATCTTTTCAATAATTATCGATATCGATCAATATGCATTTATTTTTATCGATAAGCTTTTTTTCTATATCACCCAGCCCTATGTTCAAGTTTCTAGTGTCTGGCAGGTAAGGATTAAAGGCTATTGTTTGACAGAAACTTTTTCTTTGTTTGCAAAAGCTGTTCCTGCATTCCTCCCTGCACAACTACAACCATGACCTTTGTGCATATTTAATGTAAACCACTGGGAAACAAGTTTCTTTGACTTGAGTCTGATTCTGGTCTTTTCCGCTGTCGCATACGGTGAAGTTGTTTCACTCTCAATCTGTTGGGCTTGCCTTGAAAATGGGAGCAGACTTTTTCAAGCTTAAGCTGGTTTGGGTTTATGGAGGTTTAAAAAGTCAAAAACCTAAACAGAGGCATGGACCAGCATCAGTATCTGTAGTCTGGCCTGCAGAGAACACGCACAGGGACAGACTGACACCAGCACTCAGCAGCCACCATCTTCAGTAAGGACACGCGCACTGTCATACAGAGGGCCAAAGCATCCAAGATACAAGGAGACAACACCACCCCACACGACGAAGTAGGACTGATACGCTCCACTCATTCTCCACCTCTGAGCCACGAAGACACTTGGAAGAGTGTGGGGAGTTTTGGGCACTGAGCTACACTTGGTCCCTCCCCCCTCGCCCTCCCTCTGTCCCACCAGAGCCTGACACACTGAAGCAGGCCACATCTGCAGCAGCGCCACTGAGCGGAGGCTCACACCAGAGGATTCAGAACCATCACCCAGAAAGACGCCAAACATCACAGCTGCTGATGCATACTGATACAGACCCATATAAGCCTTCATCTGTGCAGCATCAGTGCTTTCTGACACATTTCATCATCACAACGACCGATCCAACCAACACCATCCAATCAAGCACTAGCCACTCACACTGGAGTCGACACAAGCCAACTGATGAAGACAGGACACTGCTGACAACACCACCCAGAACACTCAGAGCCCAGTCAGGCCCATTTCTGCCTACATCCCTCATATTCCCCTACATGGATTTATTTTTTTTCTGCTCTTTCTTCTCCTCTTGTTCTCCATCTATTTTTTTTCTTCTGCTAAATGTCCTTGTTTAGTTACAGTTTTACTCTTTTCCCTGAAGTCCTTTTTATATCTAGAACCTGTGTAATGCCTTCCATGTAATGCAGGTTTGGCAATATGCGGCTAAGAGGGGCCACCTTCCCAACTGAACTGTGCTCAGTGGCAGCCTCACAGCCTCCCAGCGGACGCTAAAGCAACATTTTCCTCTAAAAAGGCTCAAAAGGATGGAAATCTCAACCAACCAACCATCAATGAACATTCCTACTTGATAGAACCAAGAGTCGGACCGGAGGGCAGGAGGCGGCTCCCTCCTCCAGACAGGATGAGAGTATGGATGGTTTGAAGTGAGTGGAGAGTGAGGGATCTGCTGCAGCAAATGCCTCCTCGTGTTGTTGAACCTGCAGTAAGTAATCCGAGACCCTCCTCGGAAAGTTAACTGCACAGCACCACATGACCCCCCCACCCTCCTAAAGCTCAGCATTGCTCAGACATTTACCCCCTCATACACCTGTTATTCCTGTACTTTCTGAAACCAGCTGATGTTTTGGTGCTCATGAGCGATTCCAGCAAAGTTTTCATATCGATGATTCCTCAGTCAGCCTGTTTAGACCACGGATGAACTCAAACTTTGCCCGCTGATAGGCCTGGAGAGCCGTTCATCCACCAGCCGCACAGGCTGCTGGGGGCTCAGGCTCCCTCATTGGTCACCCAACCACACATTTAATCTGGAGCACCCCCCCTCCCCTCCTCACCCGACATTTAACTGGGGTGTGGTCAGTTCTCTGCCCTGTGAACATGTGATGGTGAATAACATGGCTTCATTGTTGTACCTGTACAGATGGTGATGCAGATGGCAATGGGAGCAGTGCAGGTGTGTGTGAGCGTCCAAACCTCTTTACTGTTAAACTTGGCCATCTGTGACCCACTGTCCAGAATGAATGTCTGTTTGATATCCTCCCCTCTTGGCCTGTTGGGCTCCCATTCAGACCGGGCACTAACATCCATCCGCTGGATGTCGCCAGATGGAAGAATCACTGAATTATGCTAACTGACCTGGTGGGACTTTACAAAACGGTTGAATCCCTTTTAATGAAGATATGTTGGGTTTTCTTCTTTTTTTTTTTTTCTTTTTTTTTTTGCCCTGCTGTAGAACGCTACCTTTAGAGGATCCAAACCAAACAGAGCCTATATATCAGGGTCCGATGTTGACCGAGCCTAACGGCACCTGCTGGGTAAAGTGGAAGGTCTGCAGTTTGACTTTAACTTTCCACATTTTGTTCCATATTTGGAGCTCAAGCTCAGATGGAATGGTAGCAGAACTAGCTTAGCTAGCTTAGCTACAGACTCTCAGATGAATTTTGGTCTCGACTTTGACTTGACCATTTTAATGCATGAAAGTAATTTGAACCCACCCCACCCCCAATATATCTGAATGATTATCCTCCTGGGAGGTGAATCTCTGTCCCAGGTCCTCTGCAGCCCACAGGTTTTCCTGCAGGGTTGTCATGGAATGTTCTTACGTGCTCGTGTACTCATGAAACGTCAACAGCCGCAGCCCTAGTGCTGTCACAATTCACAAGAACAGCAGACCGAGAAGTTGTTCTCGCCCCTCCCTATTTACCCAGCATGCATCAGAGCAGACTTGTCCGTTCTTGAGATTGACAGCTGTCCTAGCATGCTCTGCGGCAGCTGCAGCTTTCAATGCAGCGCTCCATTGAAAGTTCAAAGTTCTCTTTTCTGTTGATGTTCATTAAAAGTATGTTTTAAGATAATTTGGGGGGGAGAATATTATACTTTAAAGCGTCACTATGTGGTCCATTTACCATTTAAATGCGTTTCCGAAGTTGAGAGGATCGCGGCAACCAGCGTTCCTCCAAGGCTAACGGCAGTTTGTGTTTATCTGACTGTTATTATTCCCCCACTAAATGAAGTGATGTCACAGGTACGCTTCTGTTCCAATTGACCCATATTTATGCTGAGTGCTCCCGTTCTCCCCAAGTCCAGACTTTCCTGTGTTCTAAAGAACGTACTGGACGAGGACACTGTGCTCGCCTTCTGGTGAATTGAGAAACGGCCATGGACTAAAAAAGAAAAAAAAAGAAACTGCTAACTTGTGAATATATTGCAAATGCCATTAATTTCCACAGTAACCATGATCCTCTTGGCTCCTTCTCTGCTTGATCTTGTCCAGCCCATGAGTGTAGGTGGATGTCCTTATAGGACCGTCCTCCCTCAGATGGTGGGTTGAATGGAGCTCTGGGAGACGATCAAAGCATGAGATGTTTAGGAATAAAACCTGCTTTAAAATGAACCAGAACTTGGTCCCGACCAGCCTGCTGTCGCTCACTTCAAAGGTCTTTTGTTCAGCCAGATTTTATTAAGGGGTATCGGTCTGAAGGGGCTACTGAGTTTAGTTTAAACCAACCTCTGGGATTCAGCTTGGGGTGCATGTTGGTGCCAGGTCTGAATGTAGCCTTAGATCATCTGCATCCACCTCATCCTTCAAGTTTTCTGCTCTTCCACTTGAGGTTAAAATAAAACTGATTCTGCATAAAAAGAATTCAGTTTCAGGTCCATTTCCTGATGATGATGATGATCCTGCCTTATGTTGCATTTCATGCCTCCCTCCTTGTTCCTCTGAGCTAAATGCAGCCAGCATGGAGAGTAATGAGGGGGGAGGGATGTTGTTTGTGTTGGAAGGAGTTTCCTGGTTAAATCTTAAAGCATGTTTGCTAATCTGGAGTTTTGTGAAACTACAGCTGGGTGGTGCTCATTCAGGATGTTTTTGCTATTAAACCATTTTGCGTCCTGCTGATATGGATGTTAATAGATGTCTGTATTTTTTTTTTTTTGTTGTGCCTCTTTGTCTTTCTGCCTTCCTGCTCTCATAGAAGATGTGAACGCAAACCCTAACAAGCGGCAGAGACAGCCGGCGCTGCTCGGAGATCATCCTCCAGAGTACGGTGAGTTGAAGGAACAGCAGAGCTCCTCACACGTTTTCATGTCCCCATAATTAAGCACTTCTGAGTTTTACATCCATGTTCCTGCTTAAGCTTCGTTTCCTTCATCCCTGCTTGTAGGAGGCGGTTACCATGGCTACGACGAGAGCTATGGATCTCCTCCTTATGAGAGCCGTCGCATGGGCCCTCCAATGAGGGGCCGTGGGGGGAGGAGCTACGGGCCGGGTTACGGACCCCCTCCCCCGCCTCCAGGCGAATACGGTGCCCATGCAGACTCTCCAGTGCTCATGGCTTATGGGCTCGACACGGCTAAGATGAATGCAGATCGAGTCTTCAATATCTTCTGTCTCTATGGAAACGTAGAGCGGGTCAGTACCTTTGGTTTGCAAAGAAAATGAGTCTGGATTAAGTATAAATGCAAACGTTAATCCACATCTTCTTAAATAAGCAACATTTTAATTCAAAGATGTCTGCTGAGCCCTTTATGATAAACCTGATGGTGTGATTTATCATTTAGATATTGTGTATAAACATCTGGGCTGGAAAATAGAACTACAAGGTGTAGAACAGAGGTCAGGGATTAGCAGACCGCGGTCCGGATTTGGACCCACCCCTATTTTAAACATTTATAAATTACTGCATGTTGTCCAATGACAGTGTCTGATTTCACTTGCACCGCTTCTCCTGTTTGTACGGTAAAGCCCGGCAGAGCTTCCAGGACCAGATTACTCGTGATACAAATTAGCCAATGAGCTGCAGTCAGTCTGGGTTACTGCTGCTGCTACTTTTAGACAAGGCTGGTAAAACTGTAGCAAGCCGGGCGATGGGAAAGAAGACGATGAGAAAAAGAGAGCAGAGAAAGTGTGGACTGCTGGAAAAAGCGCAGTGAACTGGTTAAAGCAGGATTTTCCACCATGATTATATAAAAAATTAAATATCCATCCAGGCTCCAAATGAGCACTATATGTGCTTTAGAATGGTTTTGTCTCCATTCAAACCCAGGTTTAAAGCCTTGCAGGTCAGCCTAAAGCCCACTGCTCTCATTAAGGCATAAAAAAGAGATTGTTTACTGATTCACATTTTATAAAAACACCTGAACTGAACATTTATTTTCTTCTAAATACCAAACTGAATGATCGTTGTTCTCAACTTCAAAAAACACTTTAGATTTTAAAATGGAAAAATGTTCTTTTTCATATTCAGGGTTTCCACGGGTCCATAAGTCATTAAATTATCTGATTTAAGCCCAGAATTGACATTAAAATTCCCTAAATCTGATCATTGTGGCATTTAAAATAGTTTGTATAAAGAAAAAAAGTTTATAAAAATTATTTTGTATGATGTATTGCAATATATTTGCGCAGAACTGCTTCCGCTTGAGCTTAATGCTGGAAAATGTTTGGAAAAGAAGCTTGAAGCGGAGAAAAAAGCTAGAGAATTGGAAAATGCTAATTTCAACAAACGTGGCTGGAAATCAAGGAATTCCGGACATGGCTGCTGCCTGTCGATGGTAAAGATGAAGGATTTTCCCATGTATATATGAGTCATGGGTACTTGATGATGGCATTACAATTATTTCAAAGAGCATTAAAACGCATTAAATTAGTTACTCATTCCTGTATAAACCCTGATCTTTGTTCCACAGGATCTTCTCTTAAAGATGTTCTGTCGTTTCACAGGTGAAGTTCATGAAGAGCAAACCTGGGGCTGCCATGGTGGAGATGGGAGACTGCTACGCTGTGGACCGTGCCATCACACACCTCAACAACAACTTCCTGTTCGGCCAGAAGCTCAACGTGTGGTGAGTCTGCTCTGCATGATGAAGCTCTGTGCTGAACAGAGTCCTCTTCTGTCATGAACGTAAGTGGAAATGGTTTTCTTCCTGCAGCGTCTCTAAACAGCAGGCCATCGTTCCCGGTCAGTGCTACGAGCTGGAGGATGGAACCAGCAGCTTCAAGGATTTCCACGGCTCCCGGAACAACCGGTTTGCCTCCCCAGAGCAGGCGGCCAAGAATCGCATCCAGCATCCGAGCAACGTGTTGCATTTCTTTAACGCTCAGCCAGACGTCACCCCAGAGATCTTCGCTCAGGTCTGTTCAAACCGCAAACATGGAGTCCATGTTCTGCAATAACTCGCTGCATTGGAACTGTTTTGATTAAATGTTCATTTTTCACACTGCAGATTTGTGAAGAGCTTGGAGTAAAGACTCCGGTTAACGTCAAAATGTTCACGGGAAAAAGTAAGGAAATCAATAAGAACTGAATTATAAATGTTTGTTCGTTGGGAGGATTAACCTGCTGTTTCCTGCCAACAGGCGGCGCCGCTCCCAGTGACCGCAGTGCTTCCGGTCTCTTAGAATGGGAGTCCATCAATGATGCCATGGAAGCTCTGGCTCTGATGAACCACTACCAAATGAAAAACCCAGGTGTGGGGGGGCAGGCGAGCAAAGGGTCAACAAAGGGTTTGTTTAGATCACACACCTCCTCTCATTTCCTCTCCAATCTTCCCCTCTGTTGGTCCTGGAGCTCACAGCCAGTCCAGCAGAGCGACCGCTTCTGTAGAGGCCTGCAAACTAGACATCTGTTAGAACGAAGCACAGAAGCTGCAGGAACATGGAGGATTCAGATGTAGCTCTATGAAGGTTGATGTTTGTTGTTGGGTAACTAATGTCTGAGGGAACCTCTGAGCTGCGGCTTGTTGCTGCTGGACGTGTCAGAGTTGTGTCAAACATCAGTGCTCAGGTTGCATGATGGGTATTCTAGACGTACTGAAGCACAGCTCAACCTTCTGGTCTATTTTCAAAAAAATGAAACCTACCATGTAATCTTTGAAGCAATATTGTGATTTGATATTAATTCAATTTATTTTTCCCTCTTTACCCTGACCAGGAGCGTACACATTATCCTCCAGGGTTTCACTACTTTCATGACCTTGAAACCTTCCAATCCAACTTTATTTATAAAGCACTTCTCAAACGACCAAAGTGATGTACAGTGAAACACCATTACACGCAAATTCACCATGCAAGCATAAAAGACAAAATTTAAATCAGAACTATAAAATCTATAATAGAATTAATTGAAAATGTATCAGACTAAAATCAACATCTCACACAGTTTAGAAAGCCAAGGCAAAGAGATGAGTTTTAAAGAGCAACTTTAATCAAAGAAGTAGACAATTGAATTTGCAATGGAAGGTCGTTCCACATTTTTGGAGCTGCCACAGAGAAAGCACGATCTTAAGCTTCTGTTTATTTTGGCACCTGAAGCGTCAGCTGATGGGCTGACCTGAGTGAACAGGAGGGTGCATGAAGGTGCAGCAACTTGAGATGGCAAGATGGAGCAAGACCATGGAGAGGCTTAAAAACGAATCCTAACATGTACAGGCAGTCGGTGTAATGAGGCTAAAATTGGGGTAATGTGCTGAAATTTACGAGTGCCAGATAAAAGACGTGCTGCAGTGTTTTGCACTCTGGAGTTTAGCAATGTTAGAGGCACTAACCCCCAAATAAAGTGCGTTACCGTGATCTAGCCGGGTAGTGATAAAGGCATGGATTACTGTCTCTAAAAGATCTCTGGAGAGAATGGGCTTTATTTTGGCCACTTGCTTTAACTGAAAGAAACTTTTCTTCAGTTCCTTTTTCTGGCATCCACTTTGACACAAAGGTTTGTGGTAACTGACTTCCTATCTTGCTTGTCAAGCGTTCGTTGTCCAGTACCTTCACTCGCATGCGTCAATCTGCACACTGCTGTATGATGTGTGCTGCCACCATTTAAAGGACTGGAGGGAGAGGGTCATCATGTTGATCTTCATTAATCATGTGACTGAAATTGAGCACATCTGCGATGTGAAGATTGGATCTTGTTAAATTAAGTTTTTTTTTTTTTGCAAATGCAATAAAAGCCCAGAACTATAAAGCATCGTAAGGCTCTGTGCAGGAGAAAATATTTATATAGTTGGATTCAGTACAGCTTTCAGCATCCCAGTGGATTTTTAGATGGAACGATCAATTGTCAAAGCTTCAAATAAAAGGCTAACAGGAGATGGTTTTAATGGTTCCAGTCTGACGTGGTGCACTCCAGCTCTGGTGACTGTGTAATCCAGCTGTTAGCCAGGTCCAACTTCCCAGATTCTGCTTTTTAAATCCTCACTAAAAATCTGCACCTCAGGTGGCTGAATTTCCTCCATCCTTTGCTGTCCAAACGTCTTGAAGATCTCTGCTGCCGTTCTGATGGTGTCTGACGTCCTGTTTTTTTGCTTCCAGGTGGTCCTTACCCCTACACGTTAAAGCTGTGCTTCTCCACCGTCCAGCACGCCAACTGATAGATGGTTCCACTCAAGTCCACTTTGAAGAACCAGGACCTGCTCGCATGTAGTCTGACCCGGACTGCTTGTGAAAATTACTTCGACTAACAACCTGATTGATCCGTGTTTGGCATAAATTATCGTTTAAACCCAGTAACAAGTGTTTAGATTTAATCTTCATGGCCAAGATGTGGTTCGCCTTTGTGTCCACACATTTAGTTGTCCCTCTGAATTGTTGAACTAAGACGTGGACATCTGATGGCTGGTTTTATGATCAGGCTGAAGAACGCAGCGTTGCTTCAAACTTTTATTATATCATGTTTTTGTTTTTTCTTGTTTTAATTTACCGACTGTTTGTTTCTGTGTTTAAACATGATATGCAGTTGGAGAAATGTTTTGTTCTAAGAAAATAAAGAAAAATCATGACAGACCGTGTAAGAGTCATGTTTGAATGAAAGCTATAAAAACTGTTAATTTTCAGAAAAATTTTGTTCACTCCGGGTTCTGGAGTTAAACCAAAAGAAAGCGGCAGAGATGATCAGTAAAAAAATTAGGCCTGTTAGTTGCTAGGGGCAACTTACTGCCCTGATCTTAATCAGCCTTCATTTTTCCTAGGAGGCATTTTTATCTTGACTGATCAGCTGAACTGTTGCTCTTTGACCTATTCTGAAGGGGGAGGCTGTTTTCTTACCTGGTTTGTCTGATCGTAATATGATCCAAAGCTTAATCACTTCAACAGCTTTCAGGTCACTGGTAGATTTTCTAATACTTATAAAGATACATCAAATATGTCCAGATCACCTTTCCTAGTTGAAAGGAAGAGTAGCTTCCCGTGCTCGTTAGGTCATCACAACAAAAAATATTTTAGTTCCCTTCTAAACTTTCCCTTAACATTGACACAGTAGTCTGAATAGGTAACTTTCCTGTATGCAGTGTCAGATTATCTGCAGGCCTTCAGTCTCCTGTGATTTTTGTCAAACATGAGGGGAAAATGTTTGCGTCAAATGGGTAACTTAAGGAGCTGGGAGATTTACAGAGAGATTTCAGAAAAAATGCACAAAGTAGATGGTGTGTGGATGAAGTTCCCTCAGTTTCAGGAAAGAACTGCTTTGAGAGCATCCAAGATCTGGAGAAATGAGCAGACATCAGAATAACCTGCTTTACTAGAATTCTTCAATAAAAGAACCAAATCAGGCAGCTGATTGCCTCACCAACTCGTTCTGGAGGAGTTTCTCAGGAAACAGTTGGTTTTAAGATCAGGACAACATAGTAATACACCTTGTATACAACATGGGGGCGCTTTGTGGTCATAGATATGGTTTCCACCCTATAGTTCTGGCTGTAGTGACTGGGCAGAGTGAGGATCATAATATTTATCATTTAATCAGAACTTCATTTATCGAACACACCCAAAGTGATCAAAGTACTGCACAGGCCCATAAAATAAGACATAAAATGAGCAATAAGTCACAAACTCTACAAGCATCAGAACAATAAAATCATTTGCAAATCAAACATTTTGAAACAAGCCTGATACATGTGTTCAACTGGACAGACAATTAAAAAAGCTGATATTTTTTTTTTTTTTTTACATCAGGGGCCCTATGTGGCCAATAACATCTGTTTTTAGTGATCACCCTTAAAGGGACCTAGACTGGACTACTGAGCGGACCAGTTTATCGAATAGAAAGAGGCTCATTCCTGCCACTCGTACAAACACAACAATTGCAAGGACAGCTTGTATTGAGCTTTAAAGGCAACAAAATTAACAGAAATATATTGTGAGGTAAACAGCTGAACTTAAATTAAACTCAAATATATATATGTATATATATAAAAGGGAAATTAATTGGGAAAGGGAAATTTTCAACAAGTTGCTGTAGACAATTGCCCAGTCGGCCTAAGCAGATGGCCGCTCACACTGAGCCTGGTTCTTCCTATTAAAAGGGAGTTTTTCCTCTCCACTGTCGCTACAATCATGCTTAGTGTGAGGGATTGCTTTCAAGACAATTAGTTGATGCAATCAGCTTGTTTTCCTTAGATAGAAAACTTTGAACCAATCTGACTGTATGATCTGGTTGAATTGTCTCTGTAAGCTGCCTTGAGATGATGTGTTGTTGATTTGCGGTATGAATAAAAACTGATTAATTAGATATAGACTCCGTCGGTGTTTAACCGTCTGATGAAGAGGATACTTGCTGCTTATGAAGATTTCTTCTTTGTGAAATAATCTGGAGGACTTTCTGGAACAGAACCAATCTTTGTTGTCAGTTTGTTGAGCTTCTTTATTTTACCCCAGAAGATGATGGCAGAAGAGATCACACTCTCCTCAACAGACCGATAGAAGATCTGCAGCATCTTGCTGCAAACACTAAAGGACCTGAGCTTCCTTAAGAAGTACAATCTGCTCTGTTCCTTCTTGTAGACGACTTCCATCACCACTTCCATTTCTTCTCCCATGATGTCAATAGGATACATCTTGTTCCCATTTTCTGTGCTGCTAACTACCTGGTTAGAAGGTTCACCATTCAGTCTATTAACCTGGTCTGTTTGTCCAGTAGTTATTGATCCAGGCAACTGTTGATGCCTCCACTTGAGTCTTCTGGAGTTTCTTACAAAGTATTTCAGGCTGAATGGTGTTAAACGTACTGGAGAAATCAAAGAACATGACCCCACAATGCTGGATGCTTTGTCTTAATGACAGCTCCAGCTGCACAGCCATAAGCAAACTGCAAAGAGTTTGCTTGCTCAGGCGGACCAACGGAAAACTCTCTAAGGATGTGGGATGTCAAGGAAACAGGTCTATAGTGATTGTTAACTTTCTGTTGATAGTGGAACAAAGCAGGGGATTTTCTGTCTCCTGGATCAGGCTAAGGTTGAAGAATTTCTTTAGAAATCCTGCTCTCCACAGGAATTCAGGACTGACACCATCTGGACTAGGTGATTTATTGTAGTTTAGTCTCTATTTGCATATTCACTTGGCTTCTAGAGACATACGGGTGGGAAGGGGGAGGGAGCAGTACCAGCTTCTGATTTGGTTGAGAACAAAAGCATAAGGAGCAGGCGGGTCCATGGCAGAGGTGGAATATAAACCCTTTAGGTGAGAGAGGGAAGCCTAAAGGAGGGAGAGACGTGTGTTTGACTGTGGGAGAGAGAAAAGGATACCAGGCTTGCTCCTGAACTGAACCTATTCAAGAATAAATTCAGTTCATTGCCTGTCTGTCTCACCGTCCTTCTGCTTGAAGCCTGTGATATTCTTCATCTGTGACCTTAAATATTGATCTGCTTCTTATCTTGACTCGAGGTCACTTCTGTTTACTCCTTATTAATTCCCTGTCTCCCTTCCTGGACGTTCTTTCCCCCCCTGATAAGCTGTTCCTTCAGATCAATGATGATCCAGCATTTATCATGGGGAAGAATCTCATCATGATTTGAACAGTCATATCTACACAGAAGTTTATATTCTCAATTATACACAATGAATACACTCTCCACATAGTTCATACAGTACATCTCTGTAACCTCAAAACAACTCTTTGAGGCTTCTTCAGCTTCCTAGGACCATCTCCATACAATTATTTTTACTGCAGATTGCCTCTGATAAAAGGAGTTATATTCTGAGCAGAGAAAAAGAAGATGTCATCTGATTTCCCAAGACAAAGTCCTGCTTTAGATATGTGTCTGTGGCTTAACAGCAACTTAACTGATAACATCCCACGCAGTGTTGTCATCAGGTGGTGGAATGTAAACTGTTGCCAATATAACATTGCTGAACTCTGAGTAAATAGCAGAGCTGGGACTAAGCCATTGTTCATCGTCTCCATGCGTGATTTTCTTTACATGCTTTGTGTATTGCATTTCATTTCATGTCCAGTACTTCGAAGTTTATCTCCCTGTGAAGAAATTACACTTGGGAGCATATATGTATTTAAAAAATGTTTTATCTGGTTAATTTAATTTACCGTGTTTTAGCTCAGACATGCATAGATACAGAGTGTGGAAGACAGAGAGACAGTTTGCATTTGTTGACATGGAATGATTGAAATTATTGGGCAGATTAGGGCTGCTACTTTAGAGAACCTGACATCTGATTGGCTGCTTCAACGAGTAAAATCCATCCTAATTTGCTGACTGGTCATAATCCTAACCTATCAGCTAGATTGACAGGCCAGGCAAGGAGAGCATTGGTCAGAGAAGCAGCCTGTTGCTCAGCTGGAAATATCTGTTAACAGGTAACATTAATTTCTGTCATTCATCCCTCCTGCGATCAGGCTTTACAATGCAGCACTATAACTGCAATAACTTGTGCAAAAAATAATGTGCAATCACTATTTAATACCCTGTGTGATGTCCTGTTTATATTTAATACCGAGTGCAATAACTATATATGTAAATACCTATTTATATAAATACCCATTAAATACCCTGTGCAATAATCCTGTTAAATAAGAGACTTCAGCTGCTATAATAAGTAGAGTTACACACACACACACACACACACACACACACACACACACACACACACACACACACACACACACAATATATATATATATTTTTTTTTACTTTTTTTTTAAAGTGCGGCCTTGAAAACAGTAATAAATACATAAAAATAGTAGTATAAACATATGACTTATATGATTTTTTCTCCTTTTTTATTATATATACTCTATATATCCCCCAAATCACCCCTTTTCCTCCTTTTGGCACTTCTATTGGACTATTTAGCCAATGTAACAAGTACATTTATCCACTGTGAGATCAATCAAATCTATCAATGAAGTCCACAGAGCTGTGCGTGATTGAAAAGAGACGGAAAGAGCATCAAATGATAACAGAAAGGCACGAGACCTGTTTGCAGTTTGTCACCAGTCATTGAGGGGAAACACAGCAGACATGTTGCAGAAGGTGCTCTCCTATGTGAAAATAAAGATTTAACATTTCACCATTCATGTAAAATGCTTGATGTGTTGGAAAAGTAACACTGAACATAATGGTGGTGGCAGCATCATGCTGTGGGGATCATATTTTCAACAGAATTCCTGTTGGTTAGGGTTGACGAGAAGATGGAAGAAGCTAAATTCAGGACAATGCTGGCTCCAGTGGAAAGGTTTCGATCGGAGGTCTTTAACAGGAGGTCCGCGACCCGTAGGGGGTCAAAGGAGGTACTGCATGGGGGTCGCGAAAGTTTTGATTGATTAGACTTTTATACCCCCCCCACCCCTGCAATTTTTTCCACTAATTGAAATGTCTTTTAATCCACATTAACATGAATTCAACAGACTGTAGTAAACAGATAAATGGAGGCAGAAGATCTCTTTCAGTCATCAATGCACACATTCAGTGACACACAGGAGCTCTTTTAAGCTGGGCACCGTTTCATTCAAAACACCTGTCCCATCAACCAGGAATCAGAATCAGTGCCTTAATAATTCCAGGGCAAAATAGTTTTTACTACATTACTCCATCTGTAACAGAGTGACTTTAGTACCAGTTTGATATAACACAATTTGATACAATATATATAATTAGTGGGTCCCAGCTCCATTTCTCCATCAGTTTGGGGGTCCTTGGCCTGGAAAACTTTGTAGACCCCTTATTTAGATTAATTAAATTTTCTGGGCTGGGATGGCCTAGTCAATAAACTCAGAATCTGTAGTAATAGCTGTTATTTGCTGTTAACAAAACTCAGTATTTTGTCTGAATTTGGGATTTTATGCAATGAAGAATGGAGATAATATTAGTTTCTATGTTTAAAGATGTTGAAGACAGATTCTAACAGACCTGCAGCCAAACATGCTGCTACAGAGTGCTGACTGACAGAGGGAGGCTAAATAAATGCACTTCTACTTCAGCTCCATTCCGCTGTGACATGAAATCCTAAAAGTACATCAGTATTTATGTTGTAATGTGAAGCGCTGTGCTGTAATCGAGGACATTTGAACTAAAATGTCTGCCTCTGTGTTCTGTTTGATTTGCATAAGTATGGACTTCCTGTTTGACACGTTTTTCCAGGTGTGTCCTGGATCGGAGCCCTGAAGCTTCAGTTTGACCCGCTGTCGTTACCTGATCCCACTCTGAGAGCGTTCAGGAGGGCCTTGGTGTTCTGCTGTGGCCTTTCTCAGAGTCACGACAAGCACAGAGAAGTTTCAGGTACGCCAGGTGTGCAATCCTTCTGTTTGCTCTGTGATCTCCGGCTCAACCTGTCTGGTGGGTGTGGGCTGGTCCGGAGCTAGCTGCTGTAGGGAGGGAGAAGAAATCCTGCTCAGTCGTAAGAGACGTTGGGGGAAACTCTGCTTCTTCTCTGGTTTCTGGAAAACAAAACAGGTAAACGGATCCCACCACCTCAGCAAGGAAGAGCCCGGGACCGAGTGGGGGTGGACGGCAGGGGAACCAGCAGCCTGGTCCAGAATGTGAAATAACCTCAGGGGGGATTCTTCTGCTGCGGTTCGACAGATGGGCCTGAGATTCTAATGTGGCATTTCAGGTTCTGGGATGTTCAAGATGTTGCTGTGTTTCTCAGCATCACCCTCTATATGTGTCACTTAGGTGAGTTTCTGTCTGATTCATTGATTACTGCTGTCTGCTTCTACAAAAAGCCAACATTTGTCCTGCATGTCCAGAAATTTAAAAGCAACAAACCCACATTTTCTCATTCTGTCTGTTAATCTGAGTTAAAACTTCTAAAATTAAAACCTTTCTGGCCTCCATGTTCCACAGGAAAGCAGGTAGGAATCCATGAAGGTTTAATGTTTAGTCATTCGCCTTTCTTCTCAGTCAGGACTGAAATGCCTAACCTGTGCTTCATTAAGCAAACACATACCAGCAGAACCAGAACGTCCACTGATTGTCATGTCTCTGTGTTTAAAGGAGAACTAGGAGCTCTCAGCCAGTTTGACCAGTTTCCCACCTTGGTATCAGAAAAACAGAACCTCTGTGGAGCTGCAGGGTGAAATATTGTCCTATTTTATGGCTCAGATGCGGGTCATTCACCCACATGCTGCAGCTGTAACTGCTGCCATATAATAACTGATCAGAAAGGAAACGGAGTGAAAGGTGAAACTGGTTAGAAATGCACAAACCTTTACTCTGGTCTCAGATTTTAGATGCTTCTTTATGTGATTTTAAACATGAACTGCTGGTTTGTTTGAAAAGTTTGGACCAGATTCTCCAGTAAAGACCTTTGATAATCTGTTTAGTTTCACATTCTTCTTTGAAATAAATGCAGCTCAGGTCAGTCCGCATAATGGTCATTTTAAATAGAGCTTTTAGTGATTTATACACCGTTATTTATGAAGCACTTTAAAACAAACCAGGTTTCACAAAGTGCTGCACATATCGAAGATAAAAATAAACAGGATTAAACGAAGAAGCTTAAAAAAATATACTAAAAGATGGTATTAATAAGAACAGTGATTAAAAAGAGAGCCAATCTCTAAGGAAGTACAAAACGCTTTAGCAAAGAAATGTGAGGGATTCTTTGTTTTTGGCATTTTAAGGAGCTGCTGGGAAGCGGACCTTAGGAAGGGGGCAGGTAATAGCTCTAAGAGGGTAAGGGGTATATGTGCTTGGAGAGACTTAAAAACAATAAAACAAATTTAAATCGGATGCTGAAATGTCCAGGAAAGCAATGAAATTAAAATCAGTGGGATTATGTTCCAATTTGGAGCCAAAATGCAGCATTTTGAACAATCTGCAAGCACTTCTAGATGTGTCACTAATCCCTTAATACAATGCGTTACCGTAATCCATTATGGATTAAATAAAAGCTCAGATAATTGTTGTTATTAGGGGTGAGTGTGTCATGATTTTACTAAGGTTCAGACCCAAATGCAGAAGACCAAACGTGGAGACCAGGGAAAATGTTTAACAGGTTTTATTGAAGAGATAATACAGAGAGAAGTGTTGCTCTGAACACTGCTCAACCGGAACTGAAAAGTGAGGGAAAGACACAGCGGTTAGTTCAGGCTCAGTGGGATATTTGACTCGTGAACTTTGGTTGCTGACTCACGTTTCCAGAGAAGTTGTTGAATCCTTGACTCCTGTCTGTGTGTTGTGGTTCCAGTGTTTGTCTTATTGGGTGGAGGGTGGAACAGGGTTTACCCAGAATGCGGTTGTTAATAGGTGAACGGAGAAACTGACTGCCACTCAGATTTCCTGCGGTACTTGAACGGGTCGTAGTGGAGATTAATCCCTTTCTCAGTGCGAAGCTCAAACGATCTCTTGGGGAAAGTGGATCCAAACCTCCTGTTTGAACCCCAGCTCAGTTTGAAGCTCAGTTGATCCTTCCAGGGAGAAAAGGTCCGAAAAATCCATTTTGCAGGATGACTTTCTGCCGAGAGGCAAAAGACAAACAATGTTAAAACTCAGGTTGACAAGAACTCAGTTTGACTCAGCAAAACTCAGCTTGGCGAGAGTACCCAAAACTGGCAAACACTCTGGCGTCGAGGTAGTGGCAGTCAGCAGCTTAAGAACACTCCGTCTAACGAGGAAACCATCAGCAGGTGTGTGAGGAGGCGGACCACAACCAGGCGCCTCCTGGTGGAGGAAGGGAGACAAACACAGAAACACAGACACACAGACAGGAGTCCTGACAGAGTATTGACATGGCTGTTGCAATATGATACATTTCACGATACAATATTATCACAATATTGATATTTTGCGATATTTTCCCCAGCTATCAAAATAAAATGTATTGATAAAATACCAAGTTCTGTATATGTTCATCAGATGATAATGATCATTTGGTTATTTTGGTATCCACGTCGTCTGTGGTGTGAGTCAGTCCACGCCTTTCACTGTGACGGCCTCAACTACAGACATGGTGCTACAGAGTGGCGGCGCAGAGGTAGCCCATTTACACTCATCGTTTTAGGTCAAAATCTTTTGGGTTCTTTTGGTTCTAGGATCTGAAAGATCAATATTATATCAGGCAGCCAAAAATCAAGATATATCAACCAAAACGATTTTTTCTCATGCCTCTAGTCGTTTTTCTCTTATATTGGCTTACGCCTCAGATGGAAGAATCTGTGTAACCCTTCTTAAAGGGGAGAAATATTTAGGAATCATCTGTATAACAGTGGAAGGAAACTCCCTATTTCATGAAAACAGAGCCTAGAGTAGAAGAAAGAAGAGGGCCCAATACTGACCCCTGTGGGACCCCGTAACATAGAGAGGCAGAGGGTGACTGAAAAGAGATTAGCAGATTTTCATTTGTTCCAGGGTAAAACACAGAAAATGAAAGATTTAATAAGAATAAGACTTGTTAGATTTTGTTACTGAACCAAGCAGGTTGGTCAGAAAAACACAAGACTGTGTCCAAATGGTGATTTGAGTTCAAGCTAAAGAGCTGAGTGGTAATTCTGTCAACAATCCATCTATTTAGCCCTAAACTGCATGATGCTGCCACCACCATACTTTGTAGTTATTCTGGTGAGAGCATTAAGCTTCTCTCTTCAAGATATTTGGTGGCTAGAAGGTGTTTATTTTTTTGGAGCGAGGATTTTTGTCTCAGTCAAGACCCTTTTTAGTCAACATTGATGATAAATTGACCTCACTGATGAAAGTTGAGCTCCAGCTAACAACTAGTTAAGTAATTCATTAATCTAGTGATTAATCAAGTAATAGGATTAAACAAGGGGCAAAAAAGACCAAAGCAAACAAATCATTCTGTTCCTTTATCCTAACACACATGCAGCACGTCCCCAGTGCCCACTTTGGTTATAAAGGCTTCCTGTGCTCTTAAACAATGAAGCTCTAAGCTCAATGTGTGAAAAGCTCAGCCTCCTCTGTGTGATTTATCAGCACTAAGCTGCTTTTGTTGAGGAAAAGGTCACAAATCAAGTGTTTCTTTTAAACAGCAGAATTTATCAACTTTTATCAACCTTTAAAGCCAAGAGTTGATTCCAAATCAAACCCTCATCATAAACTTCAGCCACACATTAGACCCTCTGCCAAAAATGCACCGGACAGAACCTGAACCAACTCTCCTCTAACGGCTCTGTAGGAACTTAACCTCTGATCTGTCTCTGCAGGTTTGTGATGGAACCTGTTCGTAGTTATTTTCATTTTGCAGTAAAGGAACTCTGCTTTGTTCCTGCTAGTATCTCTTAGCTGCAGCTTTATTTTTTTTCTACAGTTTTGGTCTATTTATTGCTCTGAGTGGTTTGTTCTTTCACTGCATGTCAAGTTTTACAGTCTGTCTATAATCTAGTTAAAAAATTATTCAATGACTGACTGGGTTGATGATTATTTTAACAATCCATAAGCAATGATTAATCCGAGTTATTGTTTCAGCTCTGCTCTGAACTGCTGTTCAGGTTGTTTCTAAGTAAAGCAGCCTTCAGCCTCTGTGGTTTTGTTTTCTGATCATCCTAACAGATAAAAATACACCTCAACCATGTGTTTCTGGGTGGATAAAACAATGAGGAATAATAATATGTTTGGAAGAGTAAGGGTGAGGTTTTTAAATCTAAGAGTTATGTACCATATGTCAAGCACAGTAGTGGGAGCATCATGCTGTGGTGCAGTCTCACTGCTGCTGTCAAAGGGGCATTGCCCAATAAATAAAAGGCCACTACTTTCAAATATAAAACCCGACCTAAAATCAGCAGCTTTATCTCCTCAGCAAAGGTGGGAAAGAAACAGAGAAATTGTTCCCAAGAAGAAAAAACACAATTTCATTTTTTTTTAGTAAGAGTAGAACATGTTTAGCAAAAAGAAGACTTGATAACCTCATGATAGCATCTGAGTTATTACTTAGAATTATGCGATAAATTCTGATATTTTAAAGACTGTTAATGAAATAATTAGAACAAATAAGGAAATTTAGGCAGAAGAAACAACAGAAACAAATCCCCACTATAGGTAATGCACACATGTAATACCAGTGTAAAATAAATAATATATAAACAATATTTACTCCTTGCTGTATGTTAATTTGACCTTTGGCAGCTTTACCAAATCTAAAATAACTTTGTGTAAAAAATAAATACTCATAATAACTATCACTAACAGCAAGTCTTTATCTGAAGCACTTTGCATATAACAAGCTTGTTATTCGGTTACTCATGAGAACATAGTGGCCAAGCATTTTAAAACCATCTATTTTATAAAAATATTGCTCAAGTAAAAATAAAAGTATGGTGCATTAAAACTACTCCTATCTTTGTTAAAAAGTTAATTAAATGTAACAAATTACCTTTTGGCCTTTTCTTCATTATTCTGCTTAGAGGTAAAAACTGGCTTCGCCACAGTAGACAACTTCCTCGTTTTGTTTATCAGCTGCACAGTATAATGCCCCAAATGTTATAATAAAGGACTTTATTTACAAAAAAATTGAGAAAAAAATGACAATAATAACACAAAAATAACAAAATAATATACCAATAGGATGCCATAATCTTTCAGAAAAAAAAAAAACACTGTCAAATAGCAAGAGAATTCTGATTAAAGTCAGATTTCTGTCCCTGTCAAATAACGGGACTTTGCATCATAAACCAATGCAGGTGGACGGAAACTTGTGACCTGAAATATTTTTGTCCTCTAACCTGACAACCTTGGGTAAACAACAAAACAAAGTGGTGCTTTTCTTCATTGCCTAAACTGTGGACCACCTGCTGCTTTAACAATTTACTTTCTGAGCTGCAATCCTGAACAAAGCAAACCTAAACACATCTGGATCAGTTTTCTGATTTTAAATCTTCTCTTCTCTTTCTTTCAAAGCTGGAGCCATTTCCATCAACTCTTCCCAGAGGAACCTGATCCGGTCAGTGCAGGAGGATGTCTTCTTCTCTGTGGACGTGACGTGCTCCGGGGTCCCTACCATACAATGGAGCTTTATGTCAGGAGAGGGGAGCCGCTCCATAGGGACATGGCAGCCGAGGGTGTTTACCAACATCACAGAGGATTACAGCGGCAGAGTGGAGACCTACGAGAACGGCTCCATGGGCCTGTTGGACCTGCGGCTCCAGGACAGCGGATACTATGTGGTCTCTGTTGAAGACCCGGCGGGGAACAGCCAGGACGTTGGCTTTGTCCTGAAGGTGAACGGTGAGTCCCTCCAGGCTGCATACGGCTCAAAGAAACACAGACTGATTTATTCTGGCAGATGAGAAACGACTTGATTAAAAAGACGAGACTGAACAAGAGTTGAAGGTGAACAATAAGCCTCAGTCTGAAGGTAGAGATTTGAGGCTGATGTTTTCACACTTTGCAGCTTGAAGAAAAAATCCAAATACATTTCTTTTGCAAAGGATCGGTGTGACCCAGGTGTGGTTCTGGAGAGCTTCATCCCTGATCCAGGGAGGTTCCCCTGCTTTAGCACAGCTGATTATAATGATTGCAGTAGACCAAAAGCCTGTTAATCACCTTTCAATTAAAATCAGCTGTGCTGGAGCAAGGAAACCTCTAAAACCTGCAGGACAGGTGGCCTCGAGGACCGAGGTTGGGGATGCCTGCTCCAGATTACACAGATGCTCAGTGACGAAACATGCAATAGATACAGGAGTTGGAGACGGGATGCATCTGAAAGCTCTTCAGATCTGGACCTGGACTCCAGACGTTTGTGTGAAAACCCTCATCATTAAGACAGAGGTCAAAAAGTTCTCAAGAATCTGGTTAAAGTCTTTTATATTTGACTTATACAATGAGTTAGAGGCAGCTCAGGGGAACAGTGCCCTTGCAGCAAGAAGGTTCTGGGTTTGATTCTCGTCTCGGGATCTTTCTGCTTAGAGTATGCATGTTCTCTCTGTGCATTAGGGGATTCTCTGGGTACTCCGGCTTCCTCCCACAGTTCAAAAACATGACTGTTAGGTTAATTGGCTTCTCTAAATTCTCCTTAGGTGTGAGTGTGTGTGTGAATGGTTGTTTGTCTCTGTGTTGCCCTGTGATGGACTGGAGAGACCTGTCCAGGTGTACCCCGCCTCTCACCTGTAGAAAGCTGGAGATAGACACCAGCACTGCTCTCCACCCTGCTTGAGATAAGCGTTAAAGCTACAGTGTGTAATAATTACAGGGATATACAGTCAGAAACATAATATATTATACATAACTATGTTATTTATCATCATCTACGAGCTCAGCCTCTTAAGCTTAATATTTGCGTTGCCTTAGAATTCGTTATTTATAATTACATCGGAGCGGGTCTCGCAGCCATGGAGGCAGACATCTTTGCGCTACGGCAGCGCAGAGCCAACAAACTAGCGATTGCGAGATCGCCCATTACGCTCGAAAGTAACTACGGCAAGTTGAGAGAGATGAACTGAGACGGTACTGAACAATAAATAATCTATACCCTGCACAGACTAATGAAATACTATCTGTAAAATTATCTATGTAAACAAACCTCATCACTTGAGAAGGTAGGTGATGCGGACGTCGTGGAAGACATTTTGTCCCGTAACGCTCGCCGTTCTGTTGGGGGGGAGAAGCGGTGGGGGGGAGATGTTCATGTTGCTGCGGTCTGCAGTCTGAACGTTAGATGTCGCTGAAAATTACACACTGTAGCTTTAAATAGGAGATTGAATTATACAATGTGGCCTCTGCCTGTAAACTGAAACTGGGTCCAAAACATAAGTGACAAATGCATCAACACACAAAATCAGCCTCCTGCAGTGATCCATAGACTTAAACCCTTTAGGTAAATACGTGCGTAGAGTCCTGCGATAGATCGGAGGACTCTGGAGTGTCTGATCCAAACTCTCAAAGATCTCCATCTGTTCCACAGTTTGACATTTTAGAAGGAGAACTAAGTGAAGTCTTCCTGTTCTTCCTGTTGGACCAGAAAGAGTTAAATCTAGGAGTGGCAACAGTTCCTTGGTAATATACAAACACAAATATATTATTTTGTCAAAAACAATGATGTCAAAAATGATCTTTTTCTCTCTTTATAAACAAGATAAAAAAAAATCTTTCTGATTTATTAAAACATTTTTTTATAAAAAGTAAATCTGCCGGATAAAATAGTGTAAAGATATAAACTTTAAATGCTCAGCCTCTGGATATTCTTCTTAGATAAGAACCGACCCGGTGTGGGGGGGTCATGTTAGGTGTTATTTAGAAATAGACCAAAAAACCCTAAATATTCTAGTTCTGAAGTAACTTAGCCAACTGACATTTATTTAATCTTAAAACTTTAAAACCTTAAAAGATTAAAAAAACAACCCTTTAAGCCACTTTTTTGCTTCTTGATTGAATCAGAATGATAAAGTTGATAAAGAACCAGGGATAAAATAAGCACCTTAAACATATCTTAGTTGAACTGCAGCGAAAACTGTTGGACCTAAAAACAGGAAACAAAAACAAACCTCGATAGAGGTCCAGATTTGATAAGGGAAGGCCCGTTTATTAAACCAGCAGAACCATCTTCCTAAAAGGTCCTACTGGCTATAAAGACAGAAGGATGTTTACTCTAACAGTGTTAGCCTTTCCCTGCTGACCTGTTAGAGAAATATAAGATTGATCATGAAGATCCTCTCAGCTGTCTGTCTCTGTCTCCTATTTGTTGTTTTTACCCCAAACTGTTGCAGATGTTTGCTGTAAAGAGGAATTTGTTGATCCTCTAACTGAATCAGGGTCCAGCTGCCCCAGTTCTGCTGTTTGAAAGGATGAACAGCTTTGTTTGGCCTGAAACAGTTTCAGATGTGGAGGGAGGGAAGATTCACTGCAGCGCACGGACGTCTGTGTGAGCCAGTAAACTGTATCTGGACTCTTTGTTTTGGTTCCCACCCTCCACCTGAGATGGTTCCTCCTCTAACCTGGAACCGGATCCTGGTCCTGAACAGAAAGCTGATTCTAGTTGGTTCTGTGTCTTTCTAGAGGTTCTGTATGAGGATCTCCAGTACCTGTCGGTCACCGCCATAGCACTGATGTTTGTGGCCGGTCTGCTCATGCTAACCATGTGGCTGCTGCACAAAGCCTGCAGGAGGATAAAGGCCTGGAGACGCAGGAAGCAGATGCCAGGTGAGTCCACTGAACTAAAGCACCCGACCAGAACCACCAGTCCAGTCCAACATGCAGATCATTGATGGGATGCATGAGGCAGTCAGGCGGGAAGTCTGTTACATACAGCCTTTATCATTAGGCGGTGTATAAAGGGTCATCTTAAAGGCTAAAGGTCAGGGACTCATTACATTATGACCAGTTGAGATAAAGTCAGTCATAGACCCTGTTGCCGTCTGCAGAACATTTTCACCTCAGCCTTCTGAGAAGTTGAGCTGACTCGGTCAGAGCCAATTAGAAAAGACTTGTGATTCTACATGTGCACCTGCTGAGATCCTGGTGCCAAACCCCACAAGACATCTTCAGAGGACTAACATAGTCCAAGCTTTGACGGGTAAGCAGCCAGAAGGAAGGCTGACTGACTGTCAGAGCAGGTGGTCACAATGTTATGCCTGATTGGTGCATTTATTTAGCATTTAAGAATTTTCTGGACCTTGCACAGCACCAAAACCTACAAAGTGTTGCTCCTCCCACAGTATCAGGTTTGATTCATCTTTGGATCACGTCCCTCAGGGTCGATGTTAGAACCAGAGATGCACTGATGTTAGAATTTGGGCTGAGATCGAATAACCTGATACCAATATTTAGCTGCATTGTATCCTATATACTTTCCTACCTGTTTGACACCAACAGAAAAACTGATGTAAGTGCTCCCTAGGGTTGCCAACCGTTCCGAAAAACGGAATTGTATTTAGAAATAGAAGTGCTTGTCCCACAGAGATGAAAAAACAAATTGGAGAAAATGTTTAAAAAAAGAGGAGAGGAATTCGGCTTGATGTGTTTGATTAATGCGCAGGTTTATATGAAGTCTGATATGGCAGGCTGTTTTGACATTTATTGAAAGCACTCTCCTCTCTGCTGTTCCAGATGTAGATCACTAAAATAAGATTCTTCCTGATCAAAATCAAACTCCTAGACCAAACTGTAATAACAGATTTATAAATTACATTTTTGCAGCAGAAACTAAATTTCAGAAAGTTAAAAAAAATAAATAAAAAATTTAACTAATAAGAATTAGGTTTTATATACCTAGACATTCTTACACATTTTAAGTGGCCCTTAGGGCACCTATCAGCTTGAATGAATATATTTATGAGATCTGAAATACATTTCTTCCTCAAAGTAAATCAAGTAATACAAGTTATGAAATTCATTTCTAATCATCCAGAATTTTTCATTTAGGAAGAATTTCATTTTGTTTGAAATGCTCATTTTGACATCAGCCATCAGAAAAACAGCCCTGTGATAGATGGGGTGTGCAGCCCACCCCTCGCCTACCAGAGATAGGCACGGGCCCCAACACGACTGCACCTGAAAGAAGTTATTTTTTCACTGCTAATTTGAGTTACTTCCTTAAACTGAGGGAAAATGCACTTTATTTTTTTTTTCATAGTGTAATTTCTGCATGGATGAAGTCTCTAAATAACTAAAGCTGGTAGAGATTTAACTGAATCTCAAATAAATTTACTGATAACTGACTGAGGGTGAATAGAATACAAATACCTGCTGCACTCTTCAGCAAAATAAAAACCCGTCATGCATCACTTTCCTTTCATTTCACGATAACCCTCTTAGTGTTGGCCTTTCACATGAAGTCCCAACAAAATACACAGCTTTGTTGCTGTAGTTTCAAAATGTTAAATTCTTCCAGCATTTATATATATATATATATATATATATATATATATATATATAAATGCTATATATGGAAGAGGATTAGGGCCA